ATTATTTATGTTTAAACAATGGTATATTTATATTTTTAGTCAAATTATGAGGTACAATTTTAGAAGTTTATTAGACATGTTAAAGTGTGTAAACTTACTTTTACAAATATATTTTAAATACTTATAATTTGTGTGTATATTACTTATTTAATTTGTTGARTTAATTTAAATGGTAAAACTTTCAAATTGAGTAAAGCAATAAKAAAATTATAAGTGATATAATAATATGTATTTTTTTTGGTTTTTATCACKTTTTACTACCATGATTTTAAAATGTATTTAAATTTGAAAATTTAGAGATGTCAATTTTTATTTTCCAGTTAGGTATAAATATTATTTGGAAAAAAAGAAATATTGTTTTTTTCGCATGATTATTTTTAACACTTCTGTTCACATTTACATCCATTCAAACTTYTTAAATATTTAATTAAAAATAAATTTAATAAACGAATAATTCACATCATATAACAATGTATACAAATTCACAAGTATTAAAATTATTAAAATTTGTATCAATTKAACTTTCAATTCAGATGGACTATAACGGTAGTGTCAGTTACAGCCATGATAAAGGATACCTTCARTGGTTACAGCAGTAGCTAGTGAAATAGGTAGATGCTGGACCATACCGGCTGGCATACATATTATAATACAGTGGTATTTTATATGTTTTCCTAATTGTATCATTAATTGCTTTAGCGACATAACTAATATTTATGGAATTCAGTCMATTAACATTTACCCATTCAAAATTGATCATATAAACGTGATGAAAATGTCTCAAGTATTCCTCTTGATTATCTAAGATTAAACACTTAGATTTGTATGCATTATGCAATTAATTAAATTATAATTTATCAGGCATTTTAGATAAGTTTGATTTAAATCTTCTAGGTATTTGATAATATCATGATCACTTACAACTGTTTCAAGTATCATTCGTCGACAGAAAGTTTTAAACTTTTACCGTATAGTTGTGTTTTTATAGTGTTAACCGTTAGCCGTTAACTAAACTTAAAACTACTCATCTCACTAATTMAGCGTCATCACACAACGCCTCGGCAATGTTTAAATTTTAAAATATAAATAATAAAAAATAAATACCTATATTAAGTAACTATAAATAGATTTTTAATAAACGACGTTAATTAACGTTTAATTAACATTTAAATGTTATCAGTGTGAGTTATGAGGCGAGTGGAGTGGAACAGGCCACAGGTATGTTGGCCACCGTAAAATGTTATATACAATTGTCACAATTTATTTTATTAATCAACAATCTTTATTCTTTAGACTATGATTACACGACTACACCCAAGAGGTGGATTGAGGCACCGCTAATCAATATTTCAAATGCTTTTATTACCTAATGAATTACTTGTCCGAAAATTGATAATAGTAGATTGAAGCACTCCAAATAATATTCTACTTCGGAAATTCGTGTACTAATACAAACTGAAAACATATATCGTGTCGTTTGACGTTTAATATTGAAAAAAAAGCGGGCAGGTCGTGGATGTCGCTCTGCTGTACAGTAGGTTACAAGTGGGTTGCTGTAATGGATGGAATTAAATTTGAATCCAATGATACTAGCACTAGGTATATCATTGTATACGAAAAACGATTCTGAGCGAAGACGGTTTATCTATCTAGGATATATTATAGATTATGAAAAATTTTCAAATCTTAGATTTAAAATAAAAATTTTTATGAATTTCTAGCATAAAATAATTTGAACATTGCCGTAATTTTTACGTATTTAGTCAAAATTCAAACTTTGAATATGCTTGTAAAAAAAAATTGTGACTACGCATTTCTTTTATTTTTCAATTGCTATTGTAATAATATGATAGGAGCCATGTATTAAATTTTCAAATCTTAGATATAAAAGGAGCATTTTTTATGAATTTCTAGGATAAAATAATTTATGAATTTTGTTAAAAATAAATTAAAATTGTTAAAAATAATATCATGCGTAAAATACAATATTTCTTTTTTTTCCAAATAATATTTATACCTAACTGGAAAATAAAAATTGACATCTCTAAATTTTCAAATTTAGATACAATTTAAAATCATGGCAGTAAAACATGATAAAAACCAAAAAAATTACATATTCTTATATCACTTATAATTTTCTTATTGCTTTACTCAATTTGAAAGTTTTACCATTTAAATTAACTCAACAAATTAAATAAGTAATTCACATTTTACCCACATTAATGTTAATTACTTATTAAATATTTTATTACCCATATTCAATAATCAAATGGCTATAAAGGGTAGGTACAAAAACTTACGAAATACAAATTTTGAGTCAAAAGTCAAGAACAAGACGTGCTACACTAACAATAAAAATATCTTATACAACTATACAAGTTAATATCTTACACGTCGATAAGAAGAATATAATCAATTTAATTGCCGATACCCATAAAATATATAATGCCGCTCTTACAAAACTTGATTATCAATCTATATAATACGACTACCTATATACCTATTTATCGGGGAATATGGTGTTACATTATATTCTGTGTTTCTACCTTCTCAATTATATTTAATGATTCAATGTTATCTAATAATTAAGATTAGTATTTGGTAGATAGGTACTTRCTAATAACGTCAATTTTTAAATTTTTACTGCCTAATTTCTTATTTTCTTAATCAATCATTAAAAATTAATAATCTAGGTTCCTATACATCGTTCCAAAATTGGAATTATTTGAAAGCTTATACAGATATTATTGCTACTTGCAATTCGACTTTCCCATAGATTTATAKATGTAAAAGGTATGCATGTTTACTGCATAATCAGGTAGGAGCTGATAGAACCCGTAATATTCTAAGTAGAAATTAGAAAAATAGTTTTGTTTTTTAAATAAACAAAATTATTTCATAGTTTGAAGAGTTTAACTTTTTAAGTTGAGAATAACATAATATTCCCATTATAAAACTTAGATAACCCCGAGTATTAAAATTACAAGTTTCGAAATGCATTCTAATAATATTTTATACTAATTAAGAATTTAGTATGCTAATTTTGGTAACTGATTCGAAGAATAAACATAATATATAATATCTACTATAATACCTGTGTAATAATGTGTCAATATTAAACCGTATATTGTTTATATACAATAATGCCTGTTTATATTAATTATTAATGCCCAATAGTATTTGTGTTATTGTTTGTATACAGATTAAATAATAAAACTAAATATATTATAAATTTATAACCATTTTAGAATAATTACTTGTAATAGCACCATGTGTGTTGAAACATCGTATGATATTATAATAAAAAAAAAAAAACCATTTTAATATTTTTTTTATTATAAAGAACAAACCCTCGGCGACATATTTTAATATTATAATAGGTCATAGATATAAATATAAATTATTATAATTATTTCAAGTATCTACGGTTATTTGTTTTTGAATACAATAAAATAATAAATTCGTTTAGTGAAAAATCGAGTGAATATCCAATGTTTATAATAATGTAATTTAACTTTCCGGTAGATACCTATTTATTTTTTTTTGTTATAGGTAGACAAACTTATGAGTAATCTTGTATTAAATAAGTTTTCAAATCATAGATGTAAATAGAACATTTTTTTTTTTTGAATTTCCAACTCAATAATTTGTCAATTTTCGTAATTTTTTTGACTCATTTTGTTAAAAATCTAATTTCAGACATTCTTAAATACATATTGAGAAATTACGCTCAACTTTTTTTATTTCCACTATTAACAACTTACAAAAATTTTATATTGCATTTTAAAGTTTATTGGTAAAGTGAAACATTTTATTTGCATTATTAAAAAAAATTAATCCTCATAAATAGCTCAACATAAGTTTAAATATTATGAACATTTTAAAATGCAGARAAAGTTCATGTATCTTCGGTAATTTTTTTTTTAGAGTTACACTCATATACTAACAACCAAAATTGGGTTTGTCAAAAATCGATTTTCCGTAAAGTTCACGCTTTCCTTAATTTTTTTTTTTTTTGTTTTTCCTGGCGCTTTTTAAAACTACCGGGAATTTTAGTTTTTACCTCCTGAAGTATCAACTGAGTTCAATTTCCCGGCAAAAAAAAAAAATTAGAAAATCGTAAATCGAAGCATTATTTGTAAATTCAATACAATCTATCGAATATAATATATATACATATTTAATCAACATACATATTATGGTGATAAATATTGTAATAATATTCCACGAGTTGATAAATTACGATTATATTYCCATACAAGCTTAAATGTTTGTCAAATTTATTTAATATTTACGAATTGAATTCAAAGTCCAATAAAGTAACAACAACTAATATGAATTTAAAACAATAATTCTGTACAGCATGAAATATTGTTAATATTTYTTAGTTTCTTCCCATCGAGTTTATCTTTGAACTCGGCAACCGATGACGATTTTAACATAACAAAGGCCGAAAATGTTTATATTACTTCTATATTAATCCACGGGATTATGATATTATTTTACAAAATATCATTTTTTGGACCACTGATGTTTTTTTWAAATCGTAACAGTTTCCGAATGACAAGATAAATTAGATTTAAACGTAGGCATTTAGTCTTCCCAAATTCAAAGATTTCTTCACTTAGACAAAGAGTCACTAAGACGTTCCAAGATCTTCACAATTTGTACATAATCATGATGATTGATGTGCCATGTATTATATAATATTATGATATTTCATAAGAAATATTTTTCTCTACAATGGAATATTGAGATATTATTTTTGCAGCTACAATAAATTACCAAGTTCATTAAATTGGTTATCGATTTTTACTCCGTGATATTTTATCTAATCAATAGGACAGGTATATTCAATATGATCACGATTATATATACGACTGGAAGTTTCACGCAGGGAATACCACCTGTATAGATAAATTTAGTAATAATACATTAATACWCGGTTAGCGATTAAATTGCAAGACATCCATCGGCTTCGGCTGTTTTTACTGTGTCCGCTGCTGCCCGCTCGCCGCTCAGTTGTATTTCTGCCTTCTGGCTCTTTCCTCTTCCTTCTTCTTTGCTTATTTCTTCAAATTTTCAATTTGATCAAAACAAAAGAACGTTATTCAAGCATTTTCATTTTAAATTAAAACTTTTATTTAATAAAAAAATTATCTTGCTGAGATTTTACACGTGTCAAGTCGTAGGCCGTAGCCTTCAGGGTTTCTACCTGCAGTAGACCACACATTTTATTTTCCCGACTTCAACACTACTCATCAACAGGTCAGTATATATTATTTTACTAAACAAAAAAAAAAAGTAGTGAAGTACAATAAATAGTAAACAATATATTTAGGTATTCACTCGATTTTAGAAAATTATTTTTTGTATCGGTATTAATATTTTATAGGTACCTACCTATAAGTRCTTTTTTTTTGAAACGCTATATAGATTATTCTTAATAATTACATGCTTATATTGGTATATTATATTATTGTATAATACGATTTCGTGGTATTATATAAGTAGAACTCAATTAATAATAATATTTTTAATGATGATGTCTTTTCTGTTACCTAGTTCACATATATACATTTTAATTAATTTAATGTTTTATTTATTAGTAATAATTACCTATTATATTTTTATAGAATTTAACATATACATTGGTTTTTTTTTTAAATGTATTTTTATTCTATTTTAAATTTTGTTTGATTTTATTTGTAAAATATTTTCGATAGGCAAACAATTTTAATTTTACAATTATTTTGTGTGGAATCCAATCCCTAATTATATATGAATTGTATGTAATAATAATTGCAAACATATTRATCAAAATAAGAATGAATATATTTTAATTAATTAAATTAATTATTTTATCTTGTAGTTCATAAATTTAGTAGGTAGTTAATATGGATATGATATAATAGACTATAATATTATGGCTGTTCTATTTAAGTTATACCTAAAAATAAAGTAGAAGTAGGATAAAAAGTTTTAAAAAAATTACCATAAAAATTTTAATTTAATATTTATAGGTTATTTACCATTAATAATTAATAGTATTCCAATGACATTTTAATTTTTTAATTTTAAGAAATAATATAATTTAAATAATTCATTATAACTAGGTAGTTAATATACCTATTTAAATTATATTTGGTACTTTCTTTTWTCTCTACGCTCGAGCGGTAGTCGCGGCATCGAGCGGTAGTAAGAATAACAGAAAAGTACCCTATATTTCATTAATTAGATAATTATTAAATATCTATTATTTTAAAAATATTGACCCATATGAAACTAGAGTGGGKTTAAAATCATATACGACTCGATCATAGACGGTTTCTACTCAAATCAGTTGTTCAAATAAGAAGCATCCTTTATTATATATAATCATTTTTAATATTCCACATTTATCGCGATCTAATACAATTACCTCTGACAAAAACTGTCTTCCAGTATGCTGTGATCAGTGACATTTGATTTCAAACTCCACTATWGGAATTGAAATAGATTGTTATTAATTARATAACTATAATTTTGATGTGACATGTATTCATCAACGTRTTCTTAGAACTAAAAATTATGACCTACATGAAATTTATAAAAATATAATATTATAATATTATAACATATAAAAATTAGAGAAAATAATATTTTTGAATGCATTTAAGTTCTACTCTTAGTACTTAGAATATAAACTTTTCCTAATAATAATTATTAATATATATTAATTTAGATAATTATAATAATAGGCATGTAGAAACCAGGTTCACTAAGGTTTTAATGTACAGATTGGAAATTATTAATATATATTAATTTGTTTTTGCCAATATTACTGAGGTTGGTTCTCATATATTAAAATATATTATTTATGACACTTGTGTGAAAAATAAAATAATATGACAAATGTTGATACTTGTCAGTTAAATTCCTCATCTATATACAAATTTTCCAGTTAGGTAACTAATTTCTTATATCTTGACTWTCATAGATAAACATTCAGTTACATTATTTTTAGATAATTTTGTAATCTAGTCAAAATAAAATAAGTAGGTTTCCCCCAACTAAACCTAAAACATTTTAATGTTAAGTATCATTGTCAACAAACCRCATTACCTGTAACCCACATTTTCATCTTAAGAATCTGAGACTCATCATGAAAAGAAAAATTTCTATTAATTTTTTATAGGGTATTAACCCATTGTATTTTATTGGAAAGACAAGTACCTTGACAAATATATAAGTCATGAATCCAAATCATACTTTTGAAACAAATGCTTTAGAATGTAAAATACATGTACATGTGTTGGATGATTATTTGATTATGTTTTACACTTAATGTTTTGATGGACAGACTTATTTATATTATTTAGTGTAGTAAATCATAAAACCACTTAAAATTAAATAATGCAACAGTTAACCAGTGACCTTTTAAACCTGGGGTGTCCAACCTTTTGTGAAGACTGGGCCACATCATTTAGGTAAAAGTTGTTGTGGGACACATATTTTTTTWWAAATAATAATACATTCAAAATTAATGATTCAATTATATTCTATAATACAACAATAATTTTTTTCATAATTTTACTATATCAAATAATAGCAGAAATATTTTTACAAGTATTAATATTTAATTATAAGTACACAGAAAAATATATTTATTTATAATAAACGTGTGCATTGGTCTTTACAGTTTATTTGATATTTTATAATTTTATATTCTTAAAATAAATTTGTTCTCGTAATATTAATATATTATCTACAATTAATTCATAGTTTTTAAATTGAAGTGAGGGCTGCATCAAAATTTACAATGGGCCGTGRGTTGGACACCCCTGTTTTAAACCATCCATAGTTGTAACAACAGAATTTACCTTAGATACTGTAAAATCATATAGTGGGTGATATAAGTTATTATTAGTGACAATAACTGATATGTACCCACATTGCCATTAGTGACCACTTTAAGAAGATATACTCGCATGTGTTGTCTCTGTCTTTTACAAGTGCGTAATATAGCATAGGCTTTTTATTGTATTTTAATTTAAAGCGAGTAATGAATATTTTAAGATACATATCTTAAAGATATTCCTCTAAGATTCATTACAATTATCAATTCATTGAAAATTAAATTWAAAAAACATTATTATTACATCAGAATTCCACTGGTTAAGTTTCTGTTAACTTTAACTGGACATTGTAAGAATGGYCTTAAATCTTAAACTAACTGAGATAAACGTGATCTGTCGAGTGTAAAATTTGTTATGTTACACATTTGTAGTTGTAAGACAAAAACGACACATGCAAGTGTGACGTCCTCTTAACTTTATATAATTTGTAAGTCGTCTGGGTATAATAAAAACTAGATTAAATATTACTTGTTGATAATATATTTTACTTTTACTTCATTAGTATTATTTATATTATTTTTTCCCTTTACCGTTATATTATGTGCTTATTATGAAMATCAAATTCCATGAATTTAATGGGTACTCAATATTATTTTTATTAAAACATTTTTTAATAACTTCTTAGTTATCATGTAAAAATAAATCATTGATTTTATTTACAACATTTTAAATTTGTTAATCAAAAAGTTATGTCCATAACATTGGTAGATTATATTTAATTTTAAATATTTAGCAAAATTAAATTTGTTTGTAAGTATTTTATATATTAAAATTAAATCAAATAATTAACATAAAATATTTTTATTACAGAACATCATGACTTTTCCTACTGCTGTAAAAAAAACTGGACCTCTTACAATCTCCAAAACTGGATCAGGATCAAAGACTTTATCACCAGGATCTCCTAGATCACCAGGGTCTCCTCTAAATCTTCCTGCAAAAACGATATTACCTGGATCTTCAAAAGCACCACTGGCTACTAAAGCTCCTGAAAAGGTCAATGTTGGATCTACTGTGAAAAAACCTTCTGTTCCTTTGAAAAGTTCTACTGTTAAATCTGTCATTGATGCTAAATTAGGATCAGAAAAATCATTAGCTTCTGCTGCTGTCAAAGGAGTGACAAAATCTGTGACTAAACCTCCTCCACTCACTATCAAAGTAATGGACGCCAAAGGATTGCAATCTCCTAAAACTCCAACAATATCATCGATAAAATCTCAAACTTTGACCAAGTCCCCAATTGCGACCAAACCTTCCGTTTCTAAATCAACTTTGGTTCCAACCGGGATAGTTAGATCACCATCAATTACTAAATCTGTTACTTCACCGCTAACTAAATCTCCTCAAGTAAAATCAACTTTAACACCAAAATCATTAGCTTTGTCTTTGCCAGTTGCTAAATCTCCCCAGACATCAGTAATATCTAAAACGACTACAACTAATTCTGCAGTGCCAAAATCACCAACAGGGCTCACCAATCATTCAACTCTAGCAGCAAAGCCTGTAACATCTACAGTAATTAAAGTTAGCACTTCATCATTAAAATCAAAGGAACAAGCAACTGTTGGAAAATCTACTACTCCAGTTAAAAAAGCAGCTATACTATCTGTTAAGAGTTCTGCAGGTGTTAAAAGTCCGATTATTCCCTTAAACATACCTTCAATGATATCAAAAACTCCATCTGCTTCTAGCATGAAATCAATGTCTTTGAAGACGCCTACTTCTCCTTCAAAATTATTAACCAAAGAACCATCTAGCACTGCAAAAATATCTTCTTTAAAGTCCATGAATAAATCCAATGAAATTTCTAAATCTAATCCAACTTCTTCAAAAGCTATTGTTAAAAAAGAATCCAGTAMTTTATCATTACTATCCACAAAGTCATCTCCGGCAATAAAGTCTTCTACTTTAGCAGTGTCAAAAACTTCAACATTGAAAGCCACTGTTACTCCATTGTCGTCATCATCAGTTACTAAGAACTTGGTTCCTAAGTCACCGGTAGCCAAAACAAAGCCGTTAGCAGTGGTAAAAATTCCATCATCACCTACAGTAAGAACTCCACTGTCATCAATGACAAAATCCCCATCATCGCCAATTGTAAAAACATCATTGTCTCTAGCTTCAAAAGCTAAAACTCCACAATCACCAACAATGAATACAAAATCTCCTTCATTATCGTTGGTCAGACCACCTTTATCACCGGCAGTAAAAAAAATGGTACCAACCAAATTGATATTAAGCCCTGGACCATCTAAAAGCAGATCACTTTCATCTTCTAAACTTAATTCAGTTTCAACTGAAAGTTTGTCTTCGAGAACATCTCTGAAGTCTCCAATGACTCCTAGATCCACTAAAGTAGTTACTAAAAGTCCTTCACAAATAATTAAGAAAACTGAAGAACCAAAAGCTAAAGGTATTCGTGGTGGGCAACCCATTAGAAAAACTATTGAAATTCCAGGAATAACTGAATTACCTTCCAATCTGGTTTTGAACCAACCAGAAACTCTACAGTTTGATTTTGTATTAGAAAATGCAGTTGAAAATGTTTTGAAAGAGGAAATTGAATCCACAATCACTCAAATACCAGATCATGATTCGTCAGAACTTAAGAAATTAGAATTTACCAAAGCGGTTGAAAACATTGATGATGGCCTATGTTTGGCTAATGATTTGGTCAATGAAGAAAGTGCACCTTCAAACTTAGTGGATACTGAAAATGTCAGTCTGTCACCAGAAATCCATGAACATAGTTTAGAAACTATTGAAGAGGACTCAATAGAACCTTTAATAATTCCGTCACTCAATGACMAAAAACAAGAAGACGTTAGTATTGAATCAGACTTTGAAGTTGTGAAGAAAGATGAATGTGTACCACAATTAAATAGCATTTCTAACTCCACTAATAATTGTATGATTGCTTTTAATGAAAACCATTTTAATGTAACAAATGAAAATATAACTTCAGAGCAGCAGTTGGACGAAACACAGTCGTGCATCATAGATATAGAAGATCATTTTGAACCCATGAATGACAAATTAGTTCTAGGAGACGTGCCATTTGAAACCGATTCAAGTCAAGATGAAATTTCTGATAATGAACAACCTATTCAAAAGGAAGTAATCAAAAATGAAAGCTGTGGCGCAGAACAAAACAAATGTACGGATGATGTATTTATATTCACAGACAATTTATCAATTAATAATTTTGATAGTGCTGATAGTACTGAAAATTTCATGCATCAATTTATGCCAAAATCAATTGAAAGGTCAGAAGGTTCATTATCTATTAGTACAGATGACGAAAGTCTTCTTAGTCGTAAATCTTATTCGGAAGCCGTTTCGGGATCACCCAAAGATAGTGAATATTATTTTGACTATGATTTTGAAATGGTTGATGACTGTTTGGAATATGATGATGAGAGGCGTTCATCAGTATTTGTTGAAGTGACTGAAAAAGAATTTCCAGAACTTAAACCAAAAGATTTATCTGGCAAAAGAAGGAGAAACAAAAAACAGAAGAAGAGGAATTATAGTAACAGATCAGAATCTCAATCAGGTAAATATTATTTTTATTTCATATAATTTATTTTTTTTAAATTATTTATATGTTTTATTATTTAATTTTTAGATCCAACTACTGAAATTAATTACAACCCTGAAGATTTTGATGGAAATGAATTTTGTCGTTACATCAAGATGATGAAGGATTGTTCGTTTTATCCAAATGGATTATTTTCTTCAGATTCAGTAAAATTATCTACATCATCATCCCTATCGTGGTTAGACATTTCTGTCCGTACTACTGATGATGACTTAACTCCATCTACAGAATACCTAAGTACCTATGAAGTTTTCCAAGCAAGTAATTTGAATAAAGAATTCTTAACGTCAATTATTGGTTCCAACGAAACAACTACGACAAATGAAACTTCATGGTTTTGGAAATCTATTGAGGGTAAACATCAACCGCACAACAAAGCCAATATTACGCTTAGTCTGCAACCMAGGCCTAAGCATTTAACTACACCTCGTTTCATGGTTCTTTTGGCGCTCATTAGTGAGGCTAAAGGTTATGAAATAATACCATCATTGTCTGTAAATTTTGTCACTAGAGACTGCATGTCCAGATTTGATGATAAAATTAGACGGCTCATGGTTCAAGGATTTTGGCTTATTGGCCCTTTAATAAAAGAAAGTTTGTACGAGGACGAAGAAGCGAATTGTGAAAATCCATTTGAGTTTGTTGATGGTGACATTGGCTTATGGTGGGCAGGAATCAATATGTTGGATTGGCAAGAGCATTTGAAAGAATGCGGTAGTAAAAACCAAGAACTACCAAACTGTTATCAGTTTGTTATTGAAAACATGGGTATGACTAAACGCCGGAACACAGCTGAAGCTGAATCTATTATGAATGCTGTACCTGATGACTTTATGAGTGAATTGGATATGGAAAATTTCATTCACACTGTACGCAATGTCAAGTACTACTGTGGCAAATGTTTTGTGGACAGTGAAGAAAATTTAGAAGCACAAAATGTAGTTAATGAAGATGATGATGATCTTATAGAATGGGAAAAAAATCCTGTTGAAAAAATTTAAATACTTTTTGGTATTGTTAAAATTTAAAATATATATATATATAAATTCATTATTAAGTTTAAAATATTTAGTAAGGTAAATAACAATATAAATATAATGACAAGAAATCAATCTGTTGTTTTGACATAGGTTCAATAATTAAACGTATATTATGTTTTTTCTTCCTTTAATTTTCTTAATTAGAACCATAGACTAAGTTWAATAACAAATTATTGTGATGTATTAGTATAGATAGTTAATATAGTTAATAGTATAATAATAGTTAAGCATGTTTAATATATTTCACCTAAAAGGTAAATTGTCATATTTTGACTTCATTTTGTAACACCTAAGTATTAAATAACAATAATTCAAACTGTGTACAAAATAAACTATTTATTATGTTAAATTACATTGTGTTGACRTTTTTTCAACAACCAAAAGCATAATAGTATATTAACAAGAGAAAAACAATGAACAGCTAACAAAAAATTGTGTTACCATAAGAATCAATGAGAAATATAATATGTACACATATTTAAAATATTTTAAGGTATTAAACAAATAACACATAGGTAACAGTTAAATAATAACATAACATTGTGTATTTTTAGTAATTACATTTATTTTAAAGTAATTTTTCATGCAAAAAAATAGGAAACATTGATTTTTGTAAAAACCTAACAACASTAACAACTTATAATTGTATTATAATAAACAAATAGATTATTGATTACAAAATTAAGTATCACAAAGCAATCATTGTTACATTCTGATTCGTAGAAATAATTTTTAACAAGTTTTAGTTTGATATGAATAATTTTCACAAATTTTCTACATTAATTAGTTAATTTACTTCTGCCACACACAACACTAATTAGTAGATGGTAAAAAGAATAAAAATTAACTAATTGCAAAATTGTGTTATTTAAGTACCAATATAAATTAAGTACAAATAAAAAAAATCTATACAATTTCGATAAAAATAAAATTATGTACAAAAAAAATTGTTCACTTAACATAAAAAAAAAAGAAATTTTCATTACTTTATTATTAACCTATTATTTATTAAACACCAGATTTTCTTATCCTACACCTAATTATTTTAAGTTTTAAACTAAATCTATGATTCAATCAAATATTCTATGAACCTTTTCATTAAACATTTAATTAGATATTATATTTTAAAACTCAAGATAAAAAAATATTGATAAAAAAATATAAAATAACATTGGTATTTTGCGTTTAATCGTAAAATTTTTTTATTTTATTTGTTATGTAATGAATATTTAAAATATTTATTAGGACTGAAATGTAATGGTATAAGAATATAAAACTGTTATAGTAGTATAATTTTTTTTGGTCAACTAAAAAGTAATTATGAAGCAAATTGAAGATAAATAAAATTTTTTTTTTTCTATTATGCGATATAAGTGTAAGGGATTGATAATTAATTTTGTATGACATATTATACCATAAGTAATTAATACTGAAGATTTTGAGTTATGTAATAGTTAAATATTTTCCTTGGTGGTAGTTTTTAATAATTTCTGAATTACTTTTGAAAGAAAAATTTTAAAACCTAAATATGAAAATAATATATTACCTAACTAAKTACATTTATAGGTATTATGTTTTACGAGGTATTTCAATTCAGATTATTACTAATTCTATTCATATCATTTAAAATATAGCTTTAATAAATATAAACATAAAACAAATATATAAGTGATGTATTCAAACAATTATTGAAAATAAATCAATAGAATTAATAAGCTTTACATTAAACAAGTGTGGTATAAAATTTACAAATATTTGAATTACATTCAGCAAATGTAATATCTGTATAACATATATTACTCAATTTGCAGTGGCACCAAACCCTATACTCGAGTATAGCGACTGCAATCGTGTATTTTATGGGGGGTAATTACTGGGTAGATGACACAGCTTGGTACCTATAGTCCATGCGTAAATATGAGATTGGATTAAAATAGTAAGTGAACACCTATATCATACATTGATATACTATTGATAATTCATTACACAAAAATATWTATATGYGTGAATATAATATGATGTTAGGGTTAGGTTAGGTATATGAATAGGTACTATTAAAATTTAATATTCGCCACACTACCTTTTTTGTTGTGTGGGGCCACTGCTATATTGAGTAATAATATAAATTTTTTAATCTTTTTATTTTAAATTTAAAATTCTAAAAATATATATAGAATTTTTTTAAATGAATTGTATAAAATTTAGAGCCACTTGAAAGTAAACATGTACAGAGTATATTATTAATTTTTTTTAAATCAAATATTTTAATTATATTCTAAAATTGTCAAATTTGTTAGAGGTTTATGATCAAATTCAATCAATAAAAAATAACTAAGAATTATCAGCATCAATAACATTTTGGAGATCTTGAAGGTGGTTTGTATCTTGTGTCTGGACATTTGACGTTTCTGCTTTGTATAAAATATCATGACATAATGGGCATCGATCCTAAGCCAAATAAATTAATATTACATAAAAATTAAATAAATGAATATTATGCAACTTTTTTAAGGGATTCTTGTGAAGTACTTGAGTAAGAATATTAATATACTTTTTAAATACTGAAATACATTTGAATACTTCTACAAAATTCCTATACTTATTACAAAATACTAATATTGTTTATGAGGGTACCTAATTTTATTTGTTTAAGCATACAAGTATTTTKTTTTTTAGTGATTCAGTATTTTTTACGTTAACATACCTGATAATCTAAGATTATTGATTAGCTTATTTTATTTTTAGTATAAAATTATTAAATAATTATTCACCTGTACATAGAGCCATTTACGCAGACATACACCATGGAAATAATGATTGCATTTAGTAATTTTTGCTGATTCCATATTTTGATAACATATGGCACAGACATCATCTAATTCAGATAATTGAACGCTAGTTGCTTCTGGTAAAGATTCRATTTTTTTCACAGCTGTACGGCGTTTAATAAATACTCTCCAGCCATCTCTAGCATCACACCATATGTTGAAATATGCATGTATACACATCATGGATGCACGGACTGCACCACCAGACACAAAAGCCATAATATAAACACCATTCAGAAAAAGAAAGATGCCAAAACAAAATTCCACCTAAAATAAAAATGTTAACTATAATATTATGAAATAATTGTTAAGATTTTTAAAATTACAGTATTGCCAAATGATTTTATATAGTACACATAATCATCAAGTTTCTCCCAAAACGTTGTGCGATAGGCATCAATTAAGAATAATGAATAAACAGCTAATGATACCAATACTTTTATAATAATTTCAATATTGAAAGAAGAAACTGCTAGTAGCCAAGTGCTAACTGAATGGTGTGACCACAAGTATGTTAACATAGTGATTGGAAATACTATAAGAAATCCGCAAACTAAAAGTGCTCTTAAATGTCTGAAAAACAAATTAAATTAACTTTACATTGTTCTTGATAATGATTGATATATTATTACCTATTAAGTGAAGGATTATGTGAAGCACTCAAAGACATTAACAATGGATTAACCACATTATGAATGTAATGTAGTAGGGCAGCACAAAGTAAACAAACATTACGATAGAGTCTTATAAAACGCTTTTCTGGATCTAAACCTGTTAGTCCAGTCTGCAAAGCTAGTATATAAAATAATACTGCAGAAATTGTACCAATGCTTTTGTCATCCACATCTTCAGTTAACAGCACCTAAATAGATAAAACATAAAAAAATAATTTAAAAATCTGAACATTTAAATACATGTCCAGCATCTTACCCATTGGAAAAATGCTCCTATATAATGACAAAAGTATGATACAAAACTTGTCATTCCTAAAACTGCAGTAAATGTATCACATCCTTTAATTAACAAATATTTCACAACCCCAAACAATGTTTCATTTTGTATTTCYATATCAGTTAATAGGTATAGAATTTGTTCCAGTACTCTTATGGCCCAAAAAATTCGTAGAACACTTGGAATTTGGAGACGAATCCATTCCACTTCCACCAAAGCAGATATTCCGTAATTACTAGAACAAAAATCATAATATCCCCTTTRAAACTATAGTTTGGCGTATAAATTGTAGAATAATATAAACAAATACAAACATCAACAATGATAAGTATACAATATATATAGTTTACATAAAATATTGAGATTATATTTAATTGTAGTCTCATGATATAAATAATAATAATTACTAGTTAGTAATAATAATAATAATGTTCATAATTGACTTACTTGATGGTCTCTCGTGTCCGATTATATCCATTATGAATTAAATTTGTAATTGTAAATAGATTTAACCATAATGTTTTTAGCATAATAAACAATGGCAACAATGTTGATAACACCGTTACTGTATTCAAAAATCCATGTCTCCATGTACCGGGTAAAAATGCGACTAAAGTAGGTATGGTAAAGCTAAAGCTGAAAACCTGAAATTTTTAATATATTTTTTTTAGTCATATGAAAGGCAATTAAATAGTATAAATATTTACTTTATGGATTGATTGATTTGTAGTAAAGACTTGTAAAAAGTCAAATACTAATGATAGACAACACTGAAGGATTAAATTGCGGATTAACAGGTATAAGAAATGTGCGATTTGTAATTCTGAAAAAATATATAAAAATCCATCTACATCCCATGTTATATCTTTATTTAATGCATCAGTTTCAAAGTTTTCGTATTTTCCATATATGACTTTCAATGTTTGTATGTTCGCCCAATAAGAAAGAAGTACAATACAGACAGAAACTACATGAAAGTATACTAGGTATAAGTATCTGGCAGGTAGAACAAATAAACATGATGATGAACAAAATACTAGAAAAATAAAATAAAATTTAATGAACAATRATGTACCAATTATTATTTTTTTCTGAAAATTTATTAAACTTACTCAAACAGGAAACAATTATTTTGATGAAGGAGAGAAATATGGCCTTGTAATATTGTGTGGACTCGCTGATCTCAATCTGACTGAGTGTGCTATTAACAAAGTCATTATTTTCTGGAAATACTATATCTGCCAAATCTGGGAATCCGAAACTAGTTTTAAAGAGTTCATCCATAATAAATATGGGTGGAACCCTCAACAAATTACAGAGACTCATGATAGCTATGGTTTTGAATATTTATCACAAACAACATAAAATCTGAAAATAATTACAAAAATAATTAACATATTGGTAATATTGTATTACAYATAATATGTAAATGACTACTTGGACTTTGGAGGACACTGAACATAGATCAATAACTACAGGTACAGCCAACAACAATGAAGARAAATTATTTGTTGTCAAAAACATGTGAATAATTTAAAATATCACGTTGATGATACATTTTGATTAATCAAGGTGATTTTTTTTTCTCGTTGACAAATACATAATATTATTTAATCCTGAAAACATGCTGTGACAGAAAAAAGAGCATTTACAATGATGGCTATTAAACGTTARAATAAAGGTAACACTTAAAAGTACGGAACTCAGTTTTCTCGGTATTACACGCTACGGAAGTCAAACTTATTCAAAGTTACACATCAATTCGAAATCGTATATTTTAGTTATAGCCACTGTCCACTGACACTATAGGAATTGGTGATTGTGTAATACATACATATATAATATATATTATATATGAATTTATGATTAGCAATTTGTAATGATATCCACAACTTACTCTTTCATCGCAGAATCACATCACACAACAAGCAAGCAGCTGCAGCTGATTATAATCATTTATAATCATAACAATAATAACAACTTTATCAAAAAACCACAGTATAGAAGATAACACGATGTTGAGAAGACATTGATAATAAAGGATGTATAAGAGAAGATAACTTCAAACTTGCCAACGGCCAGCAACTTACCATAGACATATAAATATATGGACTTATATGTCTATGCAACTTGATTACTATATAGCGGAAATCTGAACCGTAAACTTTTTTTCAATTTTTTTTATCTTCATATAAGATATTATAACTATTATAAAAATATTTAGTTTTAAAATAATTGTTTTCGTTGGACCTCATTTATTTAATATTTTAATCATCCGGACTCCAATAGAAATTACTTGCTAACCACCCCTATTAATTCTATACCATGAATCATGATATTAAGTTAATTTTTTTAAATAATTATTTTAGTATTTTATCTTTTATTATTTCAACGAATGAATTACGGACAATTTATATATCTTAGTACCTATCTTACTATTCTTACTGCATTCTCGACATTTTCATTATTTCACGAGTTCATGACACTGCATAAACATAGATTAAAGATAAAATAGGAATAATAATAATAATAAATACAAAAGGTGTCTCAAATTAGTGATTTCATCTTCATGAGCATAGAGCATATACATTRTCAACTGTCTGTAAATTATTAATATTATTTATTGTACATACTGTATAGATGATAATTTTTCAAATAAAGTCAATTATTTTMAAGAAAAAAAAAATCAATTATATTATTAATTCCGAAAAGGTTTTATAAAAAAAAGACAAACCATTATACCTACGTGTTATGCGTCAGTTATAAAAAAAATTATAGAATTAATAATATAGGTTCTTTATAGGTCTATGTAAAAAATAAACAATAMTAATAGACATTTTTTTTTAAATATAAATTAATTATTATCTACACACTAAACAGCAAATGTATTGAAATAGTAAAATTACCATACCTGCCGTTCGCACATTTTCAGCAGTCTGTTCATTTTTCCTCCTTTTACTGTTTTAATTTAATTATATTATGTACGTCGTTRCTAGATTACGGATGGATGACCACYCGGATTCTTAATGACCAATCCTCGCCTCACATATACGAATTCCTCAAGTCTCTACCAATCGTTACTCCTCAGTTCCTCACAAAATACTAATGACTAAGTTGCCGATATTTATCAATAGAAAAATAATAATTATTAAGTATTTTCAAAACTTGGGTGAATCGAAAACAGCATCCTGTAATTTGTATTGTGGCTTGAATGTGAGTAGATAGAATGTCTTGAGTAAACATGATGGTATTTCTCGGAAGAAGTGTATCATTTATTTAATATTTATCGCAAATTTAATTTTTATAGAAAATCAATACGGTGTTTAATTTAAATCCCTCATATTTACATGTTGGTAGTGTTGAAGTACACAACAGTTGTATCAAACGGATATGATACGTGGTGAATCTACTATAGGCAAGGCACTGTAGAGGTCTTTAGTTCTTTACGTGGTTCTCTACAATTGGAAATTTCTATTAGGAATTAGGATCCACAACCGTATAGCGCTATTCAGTTTACATAAACCAAATTAACWAAAGGTCTGCGTGTCTGAGTACTTTTCCAATGTAAGAACGAAGTAGACTTCAAATAATATTCAACTCGAGGTTTTCAGATCGGAAACACTTTTATTATTTTTAAAAACTAACATAAATAAAACACTGACAAATTCGGATTGCCTAGCAGACTGTACTACGATCACCGAATCATTCGTATAATCTACGTCCTCGCCGAAGCACTCGGCGACAACAGGACTGCCCGCGCCTGTATGGCTGTATCATGTATATCTGGAGATGTTATATAGAAAATATTTGTGTCGCTTCAGCRTATCTAGCTTCACTGACCTATGCCAATAATTTACAATTCAAATTCTACCAACCTATATTACACACATATATAATATATAATAATAATATTATTATTATGACGAGTATTGACGACTGTCTATATTATACGACAGAATGATACAACATACTAAATCAATGATTTTTCTAGAAATGGACATTAATGTAAACGTATGTTATTACATTTTCTACATGACACGGTAGACATTTAATTTCCTTCTGATGATAGTTAATTTTTTTGAAACACTTAATAATTGTATGATAAATCAGTATATGAATTCTCTGCTAGTTGCAAATAGTTACGTTATAGTGGTTACCTATAGTATAATATTTTTGATTAGAACATTTAGCCAATAGGTATATTACTATATTGGAAATTGCGACTGTCCTAACYTGCCCTAACTCCACCACTCATCCACATGGAGAAATGCTACGTCACAGGCATGCGTATCACGAAGTTGCTGACATACCTACCTACTTAATTTGAATCCTGGAATAATCCATCCACATAGAAAAAAATACTCAGATTACACTATTAGTTATTGCTAGTATATTTTTTACAATTATGTTTATTATAATATAATATACTTGTCATTAAAAAAATAGTATCCTGAAACAAAATATTAAATTTTCTCTGATATAAGTTGGGAATCACCAAAAGCGGTTTTACAAGCTTATTGAGGCGCCCCAAGATTTTACCAARCTGTGGCTCATAGGCCCCCTCTTAACTCGACCCTGCTGTTTTGTGAATATAACAAACAACAGTGAAAGGCTGGAGAATGACAGATTAGGAATTTAAGGTCAAATTGAAGGGGAAAATTGCTGRATACTAACGTACCACTGTACCAGAGCATTTATAATGAGGCAAAGGCAATTTCACTGGAATGATTGAAATATTTTAATATTTAATGTTTTGGCCGTGCTTGTATTTCTTATAAAAAAAATATACTATAATTTCTGATTTGTAAAATTATAGGTATTTTGAAAAACAATCAAATGTTTAKAATTACAATATTATTAGTTTTATTTTTCAATATTCAAAACGTATATTATTGTACGAAGTAAATTATAAATATTGACTGTTATTGTAACATAAAATGGATTTAATAATTACAAATTACAGTAACATATTAATAATACTTAATAAGTAACAGTATAGTAACTAAGAAATAATAACAATACAAATATTTATATAGTATATTCGTATATTATCAAAATACAAAAATTATAGACTGTTAATCTATAATTGTTGTAAAAAAGATTGAATAAATTACAATAATTACATATTATAAACATATAGTTTGCTACTATTTAAGAGGACGTGATACCCGCATGTGTTGTCTCTGTCTTACAAGTGCATTATATAGTAAATTTTACGTTCAGCAGAACACGTGTAGCTCCGTTTGTTTAAAAATTAGAGTAAATTGACCTCTTATAAAATTTAAAGGTATGATTGTTATCTAGTCAACCTCATATTGCTTTTTAATATATTTAAATTTTAAAGGAAGTTATGAGTATTTTAAGATGCACAAAAAATTCACAATTTTAAAATACTCATAACTCGCTTTAAATTTGATATAAAATAAAAAGCATATGAGATTGTCTAGATAATAATYTTACCTTTAAATTTTATAAGAGGTTAGTTCACTCTAATTTTTAAGTTAATGGAGCTACACGTGTTCTGCTGAGCGAAAAATGTACCATGTTACGCATTTGTAAGACGGCGACAACACATGCGGGTATCACATTCTCTTAAGAGTTTTTAGTGAATATTTATCACAATTAATTTTTACCCTGTACAAGAATAAGATCAAAGGTTATTTTGATTTCATTTTAGTTATTACATTTTAGAATCGATCAAACAAATTCGTTAACAAAAATCTTATACAAAATAAAATGTTTATTTCAAGTTATAATAATCATTTAAATATGTTCATTATTTCAGTTCATTGTTTAGATATGTTGGTTGATAATACAATACATTACACATCAATTATTATAATTGACCTCGATTGATATTATTTACTAAGTTATCAGAAAATGAAAAATAACTAAAAATTATAAAACACATAGCTGCATTATGTATTGTTACATTAATTTGCATACTTTAGGTTTATTATGTAAAAATAATATATATATTTTTTTAAATAAATGTACAAATCTTATATATATATAATTATATAACACATTGGAACTTTATAATAATACTACTTAAAAGTTATTCTAGTATAGTTCTATCTTTACAAACTAACTCAATTTAGACTAAGACATTATTAGAATAATAAAAAGTTAAACAATTAATAATAGGTAATAATAATATATTAATAAAAGTATATTTAAAAATAATAATTTTATAGAAATATCAATGATAACACATTTTTATAATTAATTTGATTTGTAATACCTATTAGCCACTTTCAAGTCTTACCATAAGCATTTTTTTTTTCATAATATCCACAAGTTGTAGACAATAATTATGTATATAAAAATAATTCAAATTTTGTAACAAATTATTAAAAATACTTATAAAATATTTGATTTTTTTTAAACTAAGGCTGTTAAAGCACTGTGCAAAAGAATATACAAAGAAACATTAAAAATGTAATTATAGAATACTAATAATCTTTGGTTGAGAGAAGTAATGTTAATGTAACTAAGCAGTAAAAAATTATATGGGTTTTCTTTTTAATAAATCTCTCTATAATAATATACAATTTTTTGTCTATAAAGATGTAATAAAGTTTTGAATTCAATCTTGAACCAAATATGTGAAATCAGTTATTTCTATATTTAACTTTATTTTATTGAAACTCAAACAAAACATTAACTATATACTGTAATATTTATAGTGTTAAGTTCAGCAGTCTTAACAGTAAACAGAATAATAATTAAAGAACAATAATAAATAATACTATTTGCTAGTTTATAAATAACTAAATATTAAAATACACTAAATGAATGTTTTAAATATACTTAYTAAACTTATTCAGAATGTACAATCAGTTACTTATATACCTATGTACTTAATTTAAAGAAATTTAACTATTTATAAAAATTTATAAAACACTTTTTAATATTTATTGTGGAAGGAATGTATATGTATAWTGTATATATATATTAAGAATTTTATTTTAATCAAAACGTAAAAGGCAAATGGAATATTTCTATTGAATATAACACAACTTTTTATAAAAAAAATATGTAGTTAATAGATAAATAGCGTTAAAATGAATCTTCAAGTGTATACTATATTATTAAATCTATGTATCATTGAATACAACCTCAGTAAAAGTAAAGGCCACATAAAATAAATGTAAATGCATTATGCTACAAAATATTCATTACTCTTTAGCTAATATAAAAATATTATTAACTAATATAACAATTACATTATTTATAGTTAAATATCTGTGATTAAGTATTGCTCATAACATTTTAATTAACATAATATTAGGTAAAATTATTAATGGCATTATTTGTTATTATATTTGATTATTTTTATCTATTTATAAGTTCACAAAGCTGTGACATTAGAGCTTTTTATTGAAGAGTTATTAATTTTAACTAATCCTTTATCTGAGTCCACTCTAAAATCAAAAAAAAAATATATATATATATATATGTATATATTAATACTTTATAAGTATAAAATGTATTAACATTATATATTATAAATTAGAACAATGTGAAAATGTCTTAAGTTAAAAGAATTATTATAAAATGTGTAATCTATGATTTAATTTGTAAAAAATACTACTAACAGATATTTTATTTTTAAAGTAAGTATTAGAATTGGGAACAGTTTTTATATAAAATATTTTTTTAAGTTAAATTTAATTTGTGTACAATGGCACTAGAACTTTATTTAATAAAATTTCTAATATGGCTATATGGCTACATATTAGTTAGAAAGACAACATAATATATAGTATTAACTGTGTCGTGACTATTAGACTTATTGTTTTACCTTTTTGATTTGTCACTGGATTTTTCTAATTTTTCTAGGCGCTCATTTATCAATGACAATTGAGAACTATCATTCTGTAAAAAATTGTATTTAGTGATATTTGTTCACAGCAAAATAATTTTTTTGTAAAAATTGCTTACRGTAATTATGTTTTTATTAGCATTATTAAATGAATTTAACTTTGACTCTAATGCTTGTTCCATTAGTTTATGTGCATCTCTTATTTCTTGAACAATACCTAAACAAAAATAACAAATTATTATTTATGTACCTAACTGAAAATAGATTACATACGTCTACATAGGAAGATGAACTAATATAATTCAGTAGGGATGAGATGAATGTTTTGATGTTAATGACATGTAATGTAGATATGATATAAAATAGACAAAGTAGTGTATAACATACAGCTGTTATGAATCAATGAGGGTACTAAATGAAATTTTGTGTATTAAAGTTAACCTATCATTATAAATCAAACTTATTTGAATGTGAATCTACATTATTATTATTACCAGTGTTAGGGATGTCACTTTTTTTGGTAATTGAATTAAATTACTAATTAATTTTCAAAATTGTAACTAARTTACTCTTAAGTTACTTTTTATGGGGTAAGTTAAGTCACATTTCTTTTAAGTTAAGAATTAACTTAATTACAATAGAAGTTACTTTTTTAAAAGTAATATTTATTATGTCAAATAAACAATAAGATTAGGTATAAGAAAAATATCAATTTAATTTATAAATAAAAATACTAAATACTTATATGACATCAAGTTAGACAAGTTATAATATTCACATATATATATATTGATATATACATAATAAAATATCAATAATTTTTGATAATATTAAAAGAAAAAAAAAGTAACGAGTAGTTTTGTAACATTACTACCAAAAAGTAATTTAAATTATGTATAAACAGTAACTTGTAACCTAACTTTATTCCCAACACTGATTATTACCAAAACTTTTAGTTATTAATTTTATTAAACGAGTAATGGTTGAGAAAATAACCTATATAAAAGACTAAATTCAGTGCCTCTTCATATTAAATATTAAAATTACTTGTAATAGATCCAGGATCTGTACAACCACATTTGTCATTATTTTTACTTGATATATCCAATTTTAAATTTCTCAATTCAATTTTTACTAATTCTAATTCATTAGCTAGCCTCTGATTATCTTTTTTCAGTTCTGCCACTTCATTAGCATAGTAGGTATCATACGATCCTTGGTCTGATTCACTGCTAAGTAGTTCAAATTTATCATCTTGGTTATTTAAACCTGGATCACTATGTGTGCGTTTCATTTCAGATTCATTGTCTGCAATATTAATAGGAGGTAAACTAGTAAATTGATCTCTGGATGACATATGTTGGCTGGGTTCTAGATATTCTCTGCCAACACCAACTGACACGTAGGGTTGATAAATGGGATACAAGGTATGGAAGCGTGGGTCGATAGGTATATTAACTGGAACAGGATAACCACATACAGCAGAGTCTGACATTGTAGGATATAATCGTTGATTGGAGTGATTCCACTGGTGTGGAGAGAATTCAGATATTTGTTCATTACAACTTGGTGGCCGACTTTCGACCTTTGAATAATTTCTTGATCTCAAAGGTTTGGGTTTTTTTGTACTGTTATAGTGGTTTCTATTATTAGCAGAAGCTCTTTCAAAATTATAGTCAGACAAATTGGTTCTGAAATTAAAAGAATTCACACTAAAATATAAATAAATACATAGRTTAAATTGAAGTCAGTTTTATTACAGTACAATTATTACCTGTTAGAGTTGAACATTTTATATTTATGTTAAAACAATAAAATCCAAATTTGTCAACTCATAACTAGAAATCAAATAATAACTCWAAATTTCTAATGAATCATTTTAATAATAATTATATTAAATTAACTGATAATGTGTGATGATAATAATTATGATAACACAGTTAATGGTAATGACAAAGAAAAATATAAATTATACAGTAGGTACACATATATATTGCATACTATTTATGAATATTAACTTATATAACGATGAGACCCGTAAGTCAGTTAATGATTAATGAACCTTAACATTAATTAGTAAAAATAAAGCTTACAAAATTATATTAATAGAAAGAACTTCAATAAAAATTAACAGAAAAAATGCGAATAATGTATTTTATTTATCCTAATCAATTTGTTATTATGTGTGAACTAAAAAATTTAATTTAATTTTTACTTCTCTCAGAAGAAAAACAATTGAATTAATATTTGTTACTAAAAATGTCTTAATAAAAGGAGTAATAATTGATTTGATGTRAATAAAAAAATAGTAGTGTATGATAAGTGATGACTAGATATTTATTAAAAATATACAATTTATTATATTCTTAATTCTTATTTAAACAAGGCAGATAAATAATTAGACATATGATTCCATAAATTATAGTTGATTATAAAATGTATACTGTAAAAACTATAGGGGAAAAACTTATTATACCTATATATTAATAATAGAAACAAGTATCTATAGCAACAAATCTTACAAAAGCCACAATTGTTTTATGTTTATTATAAATTGGTTACCTATGTTATGAGAATCTAAATACAAAAAATGGATTCTTTATTTTTTCATAAATTGATTTATGAACAATAAAGCAGACAAAAAATTTTAAATTGTAGCTAGTCTCATTAAATTTATAATAGATTATTTAATATTTATTAAGGTACATTAAATTATTATGTAATATAAAAATTATCTTTATTATTATTTTTTAATTTGAGCAACTATTATAATAATAATATAATGTTATGATTGAATAAAAAAAAAAAATCAATTGCTGAATGTACTTTTTTTGGTAACAAAAATATTATAGCTTAATATGGCCGATGAGATCAATAATCAATAAAAATTATAAAACTAAAAATAACCATACAATAAATGACATGTAAAATCTAGTTTCCTAAGATGTTTAAATTGTATTATTATAGTTTAGTAAATTACAATTATATTATTGTGTTCAGAGATTATAATAATTTAAAATATGACTCAAACATCTTAGCATACTCTGTATTAAAACAAAATAATATAACAAGACAGAATTTTACTATAAGCCAAAATATTAAGTCAACTTTTTGCTAATAACACAATATTTATGTATTTATAATTAATTATTATATATTTATAATCTAGTATAACATTAGTAAAACAGCAACAACAATAACAACAATAATATTTATAATAATAAAAATAACATAAAAGTGAAAATCTAATTAATGATACCAAACATTATAAATAAATTAAAAATCAATATTTTATAGCTTATTATTGACTTACATGAACACAATTATAATAAGGATTATCTTTCTAGTGCTTAAATATTTACTAGTTTAGGGACGGATTTACATCATTAATGACCCTTGTGAACTTTTTGCTTTTAATGCATAAGCAATACTTTTTTTAAGTACATTTAAATACTTCATGAATCATTCTAATTGTGAAATCAAATATCAATACAATAGATATTATCTAGTGAAAATGAATGTTCAACAATAAAAAATAGCTGATACGACAAATATACACTAGTAATACTGTTATAAAAAATTATTTGTATATATGTTTGTTTGGATATTGATGAATTATTTAAAAAAGTATTCCTCATGACCTCAGAAGTGCTATAGGTTATGTTTAGTACAATTATTTTAATAACTTTACATACTTCCATATAATTGCATAGGGTATTTTGAGTATTCGTGTGACTCACGGACCACGGTGATAGTATCTAGAACTTTCTAGAAGAGATAAACAAATAGTGGTGTAAATTACACCATGTAATGCTGCTGTCTTTAGATATTCATGGGCTAGCTTTGCATATAAGCATTGCCTATAAATTAATTATAAATATAGTATATATAAGAAGAGTATTTAGTATTTATAGAACTTTCTAGAACAAATTGACTCTAATAAATAATTTGAACACAATTTCATGTTAATTATCATGGGGTATAGTAAATATATACAAGAGAACTCTATATGCTGATTGTATTAAGTTCAAATATCTACTTTAATGTACTGCCTTACAACCAAATAGTGATCATGTTCACTATATAATAAATATATAAATGTGTTTAGTTAAAAGAAGCTAAAAATATTTAATTTTGTGGAACTAATAATAATTAATATAGTTGGCTATTTCATTATGTGTTAATTTATTTAGATTAGCTATCATATAATATTGTAGTTGTAGTATCTGCATTATATACTATATAATAGACAAGTTTAACTAATTCAGATTCAATGTTTTTTTACTAAAATAATAAATGTTTAAATTTTAGTGACAAATTTGTAAAATTTGGTATTTAAAGTTATAAAATATAAATTTGTACTATCTGAGCAATATCAACATTATGATAAAATGTAATTTTAAGCTCAACCTTAATTGTTGAATTATAAATATAATATTTTACTTGCTCTTTTTTAAATTTTTTGTATTTTTTACACCATACTCTGAACATAAGCACCAAGGTGTTAAAGTCTTATTACATTTTAATTCTACATCTAATACTAGTGTAGGTACACCATCTATGAGCAATTCATGTTTCTTTTTTACAAAATAGTTAACATTATGTAATCCAGTGTGTCTATCACGTTTTCTTGTAACCTCACGTTGGTTATAGCATTTTGTCATATCGCGTTTTCTAACAGTTCGATCATGATTGTGTCTGAAAAAAAAAACATTTCTTATTTAAAATATGTATGATTATACAAATTGATTATTCTACCTGAATGTACTTGATGTGCCTGTTGTTAAATTTCCTGGTCTATGAATACCTATCTTAGCTTCCTTAAGACGTAAATAGAACTCATCATCTTCAAGTCCCCAACCCCAATAATTGTTACTTAAGCCATCAATTTGTTTAAAGTCTTCTCTATTGAAATTATAAAGATGCCAATAAATCAATTAATTATTTAAATATAAAATATAAATAACATACTTGGTAATAAGTAGAATACCACCTACAAATGAAGCATAATGGTATCGTGGATGTAAATGAGGTGCAGCTATGTGGTTAACATGGCCAGTTGGAGGATAATGATAGTTGAGTGCGGGGTTAAGAGGTAATAGATCAACATCATGCATAGCTATATAATCAATCATGCTGTATGTTGACATTATTTCTTTAAACCCAGCATTGATCAATGAACCTCTGTTAAAACGGTACTGATCAACCTGAATAGTATATAAAAAAGAATATTTTTATACTTTTAATCACATTTGAATAACAGTTTGATTACTTGGTTGATGACAAATATCTCATGGTTTACATCTTGGTTTTTAAGGAATGAATGAATATGTGGCACAAATGCTAGGAGCTCATCAAACCTGTCTCTAAATGGTATAATGACTCCAAGTTTATTGCCCTTAAAAATAGTAGAAGCCTGCTCTCGTAATCGTATATTTCCGCCATTCTCAAGTTCTCCTAAAAAATAATTCAAGTACCTATTAAAAATAAAAATTAACACTAAATATTTAACATTTCACAGACGCTCATCAGATAGTAATAATAACTTCGTAAAACAGGTACTTACGCACATATAGCAGTGACAATAATAGAGTGATTACCAAAGTGAGTATGATTCCAATTAATAAAATTTTTGCTTTAAACATCATGATTATGAAATTTGTACTAAAGATTATGTTACTACATTCATAACTCTGTTAGTAACATGGAACCAGGAACATTGGAATTGATATACGACCATCAAAATAAGAATTTATAAAATTGTTTACCTAATTGATTGTAATTAGCACTTATATTTAAAATTTAAATTAGTCCTATTTCAATTCTACTGAAAGTACATTTAACCCGATAGAAACTTTTAGTAATTAATTCTTCGATCATTGTAAATTAAAAAAATTTTTCCTAATAGAGAAAAAATTAATTTAAATTGATTCATTCAATTTAATATTCAATCATTTCAGACGTCTTCCAGAGTCCTGACGAAAAATATTCAAACATTGATAAAAAAATAAATTCTAACAAAATAGATAACAATTCATAACAAAATATAATTTGTTATTAACCTAACTAACCAAAGTCCCGATTTAAGGTAGGTATAAGGTATGAAACATTATGGTAACTGTAAAATAACAAATTGTCTTCCATGAAATAAAATAAATCTCCCAAGCCAAAGCCATAAAGTGCTTATGTTGTAATCTAACCTCAAAAATAAATTCATTTTCAATATTAGGTTGTTAACATTTTGGCGGCAAAACAATTATTGCATTGTTATTTGCTATTCCTTACAAAGTTACTTGTTAGTTGTTACTTCCAGGCTCCAGTAGTCTTCTACCGTTAATACATTCAGTTTCAGTATTAAGTATGAGAGTATGACATTACGCCTGTTTGGTAATACTTATTACTTAGTGTAAACGGTTCAAAACTCCATATTTTCGCATTTTACAGTTTTTCCGTGTTGTCCAGGAAGTTAAAAGTTATAAAATTGTAAGTATAATTTTTTTGTTTTAATCTATCAAATAATGTAATATGTTTAGTTTTAAATTATGTTTATTATAATTTTTTAAATAGTAAATATCTACCTATATTAAAATATACCTGATGAGGTTCATCATTTGTCATGGGGAGGATGAGAGGGGGTGACCAACTGGTTTTTGTTCCTTAAATTAGTCAATGAAATCATAATATTCAACTTGTAAAATTAGTCAGATTAAAATAAATTTAAATTTCACTTTTGTAAAAATTATAAGCATTTGTCTTAAAGTTATTAATTTCACAATACTACTTTTTGTAATATGCAATCCGACTGTAAAAACAACAATTAATAGTCATATTTATTGAGATTTTGCCACATGCATTTCTACAGATCGATTCTGTGTGACCTTTAATACTACATACTACCAATTACTATATCATAGTGTTATAATATATGTATTTAAATTATACTGCCTAACGACTGTAACTTGTAAACTTTATTATCATTTTTATTATTTATTAGCATACCAGCAAGAAGTGTAATTTTTGAATTGAAAATTATAGAACATTAATCCTATGTGTTAAGATCTTAAGACTTGAAGTAATATTTGTTGGGGAAATTAAAAAATATTATAAACGCCATTACTTATAAGTTATCTTATATTAACTTCTTAGCAAAATCTTGAATTTTTCGTGTTTAAATAAAAACCATTGATACATGTAATTTTCACTGAATGTTTAGTTTTTATTTCAATTATTGACTATAAAAATAATCTTCACTTGGTCAAAAAACTTGGAATTTAAATAGTATCTTTTATTATACTAGTATTCATAATCAATGTTAATACTTACTATTGCATTGTGTTATTGGCTTGGTGGATTGCTTGGAATACTTAATGTTTTTTACAAAATCAGAGGAATATCTAGACATTATGTAACTTACTTTATACAGGTATATAAGGTATTATTAATTTTTTTTTTATAAATATTTTTGTTTTTGGTAATTTTTTCCTGTATTACATTACAAGTATATAAATACTAATACAAAGACATTACCATCAATTCAAAAAAAAAAAATGTATAGTAAATTTAAGTTCCATTCTGTATTATTTCAAATCTATTTCTCCTATTTTTGTATATCTATTTTATTGAATATTTAAAATAAATAAATGAGTGAATAGTTGTTGCATAACATACATACTAATTATTTTTCAATTTTTGATTTGACGTATCTTTAAAAAACTGTGTTTGTACCTAGGGACCAAAATTAACTGGAATTATGACAGTAATCAATGGCGGCTTGAGTCAGAGAGCTAAGCTCTATAAGTTGGGTATAAGCCACTCTTCCTTATACATTTACTAGTGACCTATGCAATATTTTTAAGTACTTCATAAGTTTAATTTTTTATACAATTAATAATAGTTAAACTTATTTTTAACTTGAATTACTGATCCTTTATTATGTTAAAGCCTGTTTCAACTTGATGGTGATTAGAGCCTAGATTTGAAATGTATAATTTTTGAGAAGTTTTCCCTAGGTTTTTCAAGTACAATATTTTTTAAAATTATTATTAAATCAAATATACATTGTACATAAAAAAATAAATACATATTATTATCATTAAATTGAAAACTTAAAATTTTGTTTTGCATTTTAAGCAGTTAAATTTTTTTATAAATGGATAATTTAAAATATTAGCTCAAGAAATTTTGTTGCAACCATTTATCATTTGTCTATCGTAATATTTATGATTTTGATATCTCAATAACATCTTTATCTATATAGAGTGCTATTAAAAGCTGTTATGTGTGTTGGGACTCTTTTCAATAATAACTAATTGATCTTTTTTGGTGTTACATTGTAATTGAGTTTATTGCATCAAGTTCTGTGGTAAATATTATTAGATTGCTAACCATTTCAAAGATATTCTTATATTTCAAAACAATTAAAGAAATATTGAATTTGAACAATAATTGAGAATCACAACTTTTGAAATTGAACAAGCATAAAACTAAAAACTAAGAATTGGGTTTAAGGTATGGCTTGGATTTTTGGGAATGCACTCTTCTATTTGTGCCTATGTAGTTATAAAAAAAAATAATACAGTTTTTATGTAACTATGCTGATATTTATCTATTAGTTATATAAGTGCTATTGTAGATTTAATATTATGAGTATATGTTTTATATATTTTATATACATATTAGGTAATGTACTTAAACTATTAAGTATCAATATTACTCAAGAGTTTATTTATTAGTGCTGTTAGTTTACAATTTATATAGATTGCTATTGTTTAGTGCTGAAAACAAATTGACTTAACTTCTTCTACTGGATCAATAAAGATACATAACTACAATAACAAATTATGTAAGGCTTCTTAAACCTATTATAAATATTAATAAGACTTATTTCCTATTTTATATGTATTTTTTAGTTTTCAAAATGATGGAGGAAGATATTGAACAAAGATTACGAGACATCCAAAAGGAATATCTGAGTTTTCTAGATGATGAAGAAAATCAAAATGTGTACCACAAAAAGGTGAAATTAATGATCGATGAAAACGGTCAAAGATTACTGATAGACATCAATGATTTACGTAAAAAGAATCCTAATAGAACCCAGGAATTATTAACAAATACGTTTGAAGAACAATTTGCTTTGGAGCGTGCACTTAAAGAATATGTCGCAAACATTGATTCTACTTATGCCAATAAATATGACGAGTTTTTTGTTGCATTTGAAGGTAGTTTTGGAAGTCGTCATGTCACACCTAGAACTATGAATAGTAAATTTTTAGGCAACTTAGTGTGTTTAGAAGGAATTGTTACTAAATGTTCTCTGGTTCGTCCAAAAATCGTAAGAAGTGTACATTTTTGTCCGGTTACTAAAAAAACAATAGAGCGCCGTTACACAGATATGACTTCAACATCTGCTTTTCCATCTAGTTCTGTATATCCAACAAAAGATGATGATGGTAATCCTTTAGAAACTGAATATGGTCTTTCTGTGTATAAGGATCATCAGACAATAACAATTCAAGAAATGCCCGAAAAAGCACCAGCTGGACAATTGCCGCGGTTTGTTGATATTATCTGTGATAATGATTTAGTTGATTGTTGTAAGCCAGGCGACCGAGTGCAAGTGGTTGGTAGTTATCGYTGTCTTCCTGCTAAACAAGGAGGTTATACAACTGGAAATTTCAGAACTATTGTCATTGCTAACAATATATCACAGTTAAGTAAAGATGCAACCTATTCTGTTAGTAGGGATGATGTTTTCAACTGTAGAAAATTGTCCAGAAGGAAGGGTGATATATTCAATTTATTGGCTCGGTCATTAGCACCTTCTATTCATGGCCATACTTTTATTAAAAAAGCAATTCTTTGCCTATTGTTGGGTGGAATTGAAAAAATTTTACCTAACGGAACACGTCTTCGTGGAGATATAAATTTGTTATTAATTGGTGATCCAAGTGTTGCTAAATCACAATTACTGAGATATGTATTATGTGCTGCTCCAAGAGCTGTTGCTACTACAGGTAGAGGAAGTTCAGGAGTTGGTTTGACGGCTGCTGTTACTACAGATCAAGAAACTGGTGATCGGCGATTAGAAGCTGGAGCTATGGTACTTGCTGACAGAGGTGTTGTGTGTATAGATGAATTCGATAAAATGTCTGATATGGATAGAACAGCTATACATGAAGTTATGGAGCAAGGTAGAGTATCTATTTCAAAAGCTGGTATACATGCAAGGCTTAATGCCAGGTGCTCTGTTCTAGCTGCCGCTAACCCTGTATATGGTAGATATGATCAATATAAAACTCCAATGGAAAACATAGGTCTGCAAGATTCATTACTATCTCGGTTTGATTTATTGTTTGTAATGTTAGATGTACCTGATAGTGAAAATGATCGTTTGATATCTGAGCATGTTGTTCGCATTCACAGATATAGAGATCCTAAAGAACAAGACGGTGAAGCATTACCAATGGGTTCAGGTGTAGATATTTTAAGCACGAGAAATTTAGAAATTGATGAGAATGACCCATCTAAAACTCGTATGTTTGAAAAATATGAACCATTGCTTCATGGACCGCACAATAATAAATCAGAACAAACTTTAAGTAGTCAATTCATGAAAAAGTATATACATATTGCTAAGTGTGTTAAGCCTGTACTGACCGAAGAGGCATCTAATGTAATATCCGAAGAATATTCTAGACTTCGCTCTCAAGAAGCTGTTGAATCTGATGCTGCGAGGACTCAGCCTGTTACTGTCAGAACATTAGAAACATTAATTCGTCTCTCTACTGCTCACGCTAAAGCTCGTTTGTCCAAAAATGTTGAAAAACAAGATGCTCTAGCAGCAATTGAACTTGTTCAATTTGCTTACTTTAAAAAAGTATTAGAGAAATCTAAAAGAAAACGGCAAATCAGTGATGAAGAATCTGAAGATGAACAAGATTCACAAAATAAACCTCCAAAAAGAAAATCAAAAAAAAATGATGACGATCCTTACTCATTTGAAGACGGGGAAGAGGAAGAGATGGATGCTGAGGAACCAGAAGTTATGGAAGTAGATACAGATAATTCAGGAACACTGAGAGAAGGTCCACCTGCAATATCACAAACATCGATCACTCCAGATAGGTATAAAATATTTAAGTCAACATTGAGTAAAGTTTTTCAAAAACATAGATCACAATCATTGGGTTTTAAACGAATGCTCACTATGATAAATGATGAACATGTGGCAAATACTTTTACTGAAAATGAAGCTTATGCTGCTATTTACAAAATGATGGATGCTAACTTCATAATGTTTTCTGATGGGATTATATTCTTAATATAGAATGTAAGTCTTTATTGAGTGTTTTCCAAAATAATTATAATTACATACAGCATCTACTTTCAATTTATACAAGACATAATAAAAGAATTATTAATTACTATTTATAAGTTAACAATTAATTTACAAAATTTAAATTATTTTGATTTTTTTATAAATTTGAGAAATTATTTTTAAAATTTTTTTTGTTCAAGTTGTAAAAAAATAAAAATACTTATGTTTATTTTACATTTAGTGAGTAATCATATTCATAAGTTTAATTATTACAAATTATTATACTAGACATAAATGTATATTGTATATAGATAAAAATTAATACAGAAGTACAACAGATTAAAATAATTGTGGGCATTTTTTCAATTTGTTGAAATGTGAATTCTGTCCAAAAAATTTAAAAAGGAGCAAAAATAATTTGTATATAACTAATTTATCCTTAAATCTATTATTAAAAATTTGTAATATCAGTTTATAATACATGAGGCAACATTATATTTTCTATTTTTTTTTTTTATTAGTAATTGAAAAATTCAGCATTAAAATAAATTTTTGAAATCTTTTGTATTTTGTACTGATTTATTTTTAATTACCTACTTATACATTGATATCTGATATCCAATATCTTGTTTGATTTCTATGTTGGTATTTTCTACTGTTTATTTAGACATTATGTATGCTTAATTTGTATTGAATAATACATTACGTGACTTATGTTTTCATTATTTCAAGGCACGTTCTAAGTTGTAATTCTTTTTTTTTTTTGAGTATGTGAGTTTGAAAATATGTTACACAAAAACATAAAACTTACTGTAGGCATTGTTAACATGTATTCGGTTTGCAACTGTATTTTTCACTCTAGGTAGTTATGTAGTTTGAGGAGTTAACCATGGCAATTGGTTTTACTTGGTTTATTTCACTGTTTATGTAAGTAGACAATATATTTTATTTATTTTTGAAGGGGCATAAATTATTATTGTGTAGCAAAGATACAAAATCGGACTTAAGACGAGTAGCTAATGAATATAGTGGAGCAGTGTTTGGAAAGAACGTCGTTCATTAACGTACGTTCACACGTTCACGTTCATAGTTAGTGAACGATACGCGATCGTCGCTCGTTTTTTTTTAAATTGAACGTGAACGATGTTTATATTTAGAAAATGAATATGTTCTAAACTCTAAATTGTTTTTATTTTCTGGTTGAGACCTATATGTTTTTGGGTTTTCATACAAATTGTTGGTAAACTATTTATAAACAAAAAATTAGATGAACGACCTTATGAACGAGTTCATTTGAAAAAACGTGAGAGTGAACGAGTTCCTGGACTGAATGTGAACGAATTCATGTTTTTAGTAGACGTTTCGAACCACTGTAGTCGAGTGTCACAGTGGTACCCCAAAAAATGTTGGGTTACTCATTAAATCTTTAAATACTTAATTATGAATTTTAAAGTCAAGTATAGAGTAAGTTATAAGTAATAACTCATATATCATATATCTAAAATTTGGTATCTATGAATCAAAGTTCTCCAAAAAGTACTCTGCTTTGGAATAAGAAATTAAAAACAGATGTTTATTGTCAGTTGTTGTCACCCAAAAAAATAATTAAAATGTATAAAAATTATACAATTATATGTAGTTTTCTGAAAATGTTTTGTATTAACTTACATGTTGTAAAAAAAAATTACTCTATAGCCCGCATAGGTAATATTTATTTGTTATTTTTCCGGATGTATCCAATAGTAATGAGTAATGACTAATAAGTTCGGCRAGTCGTTTGTATTTACATTAAAATAATATGTGTATACTAAAATAAATAATAACTACAGCGTGCAGATGTCAACGCCGTCGGTATTATAATATTCACTATTCAACGATTTTACTTTTATCCATAGAAAACTGTCGGTTAAAAAAATATTTTACGTAGGATGTATAAATATAATATTAATGTGGCTTGGTGAGGCGCGGTCGTACGCTCAATCTGCGGAAACGCACTGAGCGTACGTACCGGCCGCAGTTGCTAGCTCCCGGATGGGTGACCACCCGGGATTTTTAGMAACATATTCTTGCCACACATACACAAACACGTGTTACAACCCTACMCACTTAAAAACCWACAAACAAATATACAAAAAAATAACCCCTACCGTACTACCCCACACCCAATGGCCTATGTTGCCGCGGATTCTCTTTACAAAACAAAAAATAATAATAATATTAATGTTTAGCCGTTTAGGCATAAAATGAAAATACACGTTCGTTATGTATATTGTTTATATTAAATTATAAAAATGGGATTATGTAACGGATATAAATATTATATTTATTATATATTTAAAACATATAATAACCGCAGCGGCGAATCGCGTGATATGCACTTCGCGATATTGGCGACGATGATTTATTTCGAATACGAACTGCAGTGTTACGCCGTATGCATTTTTTATTTTATATTTCATTCTATTTCGGGTTTGACTTGGACCGCGTTGGTTTCTTTATACTGGCGGTATTTTATTATTCTCGCGGTGGTCAACGGTAGCAGTTTCTCGTAGAATGCCAGAATATCAGACGATTCTTATCAGTTATCAGTTACATCGGTTCTTATAGTATATCGTAATTCATCGACAGCGCTCGGTTGTGTGGCGCGTCACCTACATTTAAACGTCTTATAGTAATTCCGCTTTCGATTCGAATATAACAGGCATCTTCGCAAGTTTTTTCCTAAGTTTAGGTATTTAACTAAATATTATTATTATTATCGAATGAAAATCTGACTACCGGTCACTCGAAAAAAAAAATACTTAGGTGCTGCAGCAGCATAGTAATTTATGAATTGCCCGCGTATGGATTTACCCAAGTAAGTGCACTTTATACCAATACTCGTGTCTAAGTACTTTCTGCAGTAGGGCTAGGATTTAAATTACAGAAAAAAATCCCTAAAGCCAATACCTCCCAAATATAATAATGTTTTAAAAAACGACAAAAAATTTATTTTATTAGGTACAGCAGTAAGTACATATAATATGTAACATATTAGATTATTATGGTCTATAGATGAGTGTGTGGCTTTCCAGGTTTTAAAAAACATCCGGTTTAGATTTTAAATATTTATATTCAGTCGCTTTATTATTTATATAAAATAAATAATAAATACATTTTGTAGGAATCGAAAATTTAATTTTGTTAAAGTTATTATAATTATTGACAATTGTTTTTATTAAACTATCTATTCTATTAATTTAATACAATTATTTTATAATTAGCATGTGCATGTAGGTTTGTGAAACATATATCATTTTAGCTCTCTATAATAGTTTCAATCTAGAATTGTTTTAAACGCATTATTTTATTTTCTGTATTGTTTGTAATTGCATTTGAATTATCTAATTATCATTAGGTACCTATATTAATATAATACTATAATAGCTAGTGGTCTATAGTACTATAGTATCTAATTCGGCTAACTCCCATATTTCAGCTGATTTTGTTGTTATTTTTGATCTGGTACTCGGAACTTAATGCGTTCTAGCATTGTAGCTTTTTATATTATATTATTAATGATTAACGTGAGGTTTAACGTTAAGCAAAAGTCGACTACCTATATATTATTGTTATAATTTATCTGATGAATTCATTTTTACCACATTAAAATTCAAGTTTACACCTATGCGTATCAAATTTACAACTGTTTCGTACTTACCGACCTACTGTTACATGTGTTTTTATGATTTGCATTTCCTCTATGACATTGTAACTTAACTCTGACTGTATTGTATCTTTAGATTGACGCATTACAATTGTTGTTCAAACAGAATAGTTATGAGTATTAAATTTCATTTGTATTAAAAACAAATGTATATTGCTTGTCATTTTTTGTTCGGTGTTCGTTTTTTTTTCAAGTTTAACATTAATTAAATTTGGCCGTGTAATATTTGGATAAGCGTGAGTTATAAATATTGTTACCAAGTTTAAATTTTATAAAAAGTTAGTAGGTAGGAATATCCAATATTTAAGAGGAATCAAATTTCTTTAAAATAATTTCAAAACTGTGTTAATGCCGTTTCACTTGCACATTAGGGTTTACGAAGGTTCAGTCTACTGTTTTTACTTTGTAATTCAGAAAAACCTGTATATTATATATTACGTAACTGCAGATAACTAAAAGCGATCGAAATTTGATTTCAAAAAATGTATGTTAATCGTCTTAAGTCGTCGTGGTTTGGAATCAAGATGAAGTGTATTTCTTTGTATACATATAGGATATAATATTAAAACAGTAAAGTAGGTTCGTACTAATGTAATTAAGTTTTGTAATATACAATTAAAATATTAAATTGTTCTAATATTATTCAAAACTATTATTGTAATTGTGCGGATGATTACAATACAATTGGAAACTAATAAAATAAAGATAAGAGTAGCAAATGTATACTTACTGCTTAAATTTTTAAACAAATAATATTTTTTGTATTAAATAAATTGATAGTTATTTATTTTATGAACCAATAGTACTATTATTATACCTAACATAATGTAAATATAAAATAAATAAATACGAATGGGTGTTTATTATTATTTGCAATGTATATTAACATTTTTTAATTTGAGTTGAGGAGAAAGTAATAGCGGTCCGAAGTTAGATTGAAATAATACTAAAATTTAAAATAGCGTATTTTTAGATACACTTTCCAAACAATTAATACATGTTTTTCAATTATATAAGAGAAATGTTTTTCAAAACCTAACACAAATTAAAACATAATTTTCATTCTTATCTGGTATAATTAATTTTATGTTGATTTAGTTTTGTTAGATATAAAAAAAAATGTATTTACAGCTTGAGTAATTATGATTTGTTTAATCTAGTTATACTTTTAGATTAAACAAAAATTATAATTTTATTTTATTGTATAATAGACAATATAATTATGTATTTTATGATGTTTATTAGTATTTAGTAAGTTAAATATATAACTTATAACTAATTAACAACTCGTTTGAAATTCGATTTTTATATGCATGTATTCATTAAAATAGTCTGTTCTGAAATATGAAGTTAAGAATATTATATGCTGTCATTCAAAAAAATAAAAGCTTAAAAACGGGAATAGTATAATAGTTTATATATAAAAAAGCAAAAATCTATTTTTTTTTTTTCAATAAAATAGATGGGTTATGACTCAAAATTATTCCAAAAACATTTGATATAATTTTGAAAATTGTGTTCTATCATACTGAATCATTTCGTATGTTTCGTCTATGATGGATTCTTAAACATTTTAACTTATTTTTTTACGTCCTCTCCTGGCTTTAACACTTAAACTAAAATGTGCCACTGCTGTTGCAAATTAATCATTTAGAATACTTGAATAAATTTGTGCGTGTATATAAATGCGAACTTAAAGTTATAGATTATTAAATTAGAAGAGATTCGGCCTTGGTCGTTTGGCGTAAACCGATCATTACTTTCTCTTTCGTTGACATATTGGGTATCGTGTGTCATGGTATTCAACACTAATATGGATTTTACTTATATTGCAATTATTGAGTACCTACTCGTTAAGAGTGTTTATACATGGTTACTTATTCCCAGAGCTTGGATTTATATGCAATTAATAATGATAAAATAATAAAATATGTAGCTAACATTTTTTTTTGATTTTATTTAACTAACTGATTTGTTAATAATATTAGAGTAAAAAATCAAAATGTGCATTATATTGAAAATTAATAACATAGAACATATATTATAATTTGAGTGTATATCATTTATCACTTCTTGTATCAGATAAATTATGCCTAAAGTTAAAATGGTATGTGACAAAACTGTCTCTTTGAGTCTCGCAGCTTCCATCTCGGGCGGTCGGGGTGAAACTACTCGCCCGAGAGTCTGAGGGTGGTGCCTATTACATCAACTCGACTGAAGATGGTTCGACGCCCGCTTTGACTGTTATGCGCAACGCGAGCAGTACGGTAGGTAGGTTGGCTGTTGGCTGACCAGTGACCACTGCGACGATTCGTGCTTGCAGGAACATGTGCGGTGAAAACGTTCTACCATCCCGTTATGGCCTGCTACGGCGTTGTTCGAATGTTCTGAATGATGACGAAAAGGTGACCAAAAGTGATTTCTTGTAATCGTGGTATCCAGTTCGTTGTTATAAGAGTAGCACGACTATTGTATCCGCTGGACGATGGTAGCGACCAAATCAAGTCAAGGCGAATGTGACCGAAGCGTCGCTTGGTGTGTTGCTGGACGTCGTGTGTGTGTACTTTGGTTCGTTGGCACGGTTCGCAGGCTCGGGTCCATCGCGTGATTTCTCGAACCATGAGCAGTACCGCGATTTGATGAGACGAAGTGTAGCACGGTGACCGTCGAGGGCTTGACCGTGTACAGCGGCCCATACGCGATACAATTAATGTACGACAGATTGAACAACTCTGTTGGATATACGATCTCATAAACGATTATCGTGACGTGTATGGTACTGTTCGTGTAGTACCTATGATGAGATGAAGTTTGAATCAGCATAAAATCCATCGTACGGCAAGTCCGCTATACGACAAATCGTAACATGTGTCAATCTCCAAAAAAGCCCGACGGCTCCCACTGACCGCTGACGTTCTGTTCGAGGACGGCTCCCACGGTGATATTTGCCACGGCGGCATCGGTGCTGAGGCGTAGCGCGGCGCCCGCGCTCAGGTGCTGTATTGGCGAGCGCTCGCCGACAGTCGTCGAAACTGGCGCTCGCGCAGTCGCTGTTCACAATAATGGACCGTCCTGTTCGTCCTGCTCTCGGCTGCTATGTCGTACGGCGGGGCTTTTAGTTCGGCCTCGTTGGGAATAAAACGATGGCAGAAGTTCAGTGAACCAAGAAAGCGTTGAGTCTGCAAACGGCACTTGTGTTTTTTAATTTGAAAACAAAATTATAGGCTTACATTATGATGGAAAAATGGAAAGATTCGTTTTAGAATTAGTATTTCGAGAATTTTGACGAAAAAGGGCAAAATACTATTAAGTCAGTATATAAGAGTATGGAGTATAGGAGGCGGGTGACTGTCCCAAGTTGTTTTAGTGTATGTTTAAATTGCGTCCCCCGTATTTTTCACATTAAAATATATGCCAGTTATTTACAACCAATATTTCCCTTCCCATTTTATTAGTCTTAGAACTGTCAATAATTGACTCAACATTACTGTTTTAATAGTGGTATACTGGTATATAGTTAAAAATATTGTTTTTTTTATTTTAACTTAATAAACAAAAATAATTAGAATACATTTTGTATACGTCATGTTGTATTAGTTATTTATTATTATTGAAATTTTGAAATTGCATATTTTTATCGGTACTAAACCCTATTTTTTGCTGCGGTTCAATTTTTGTGTGCCAACTTTATCCTTTAGTAATTGGGTATTTAATTACTTGTTATAACATAACTCATAAGTCTATATTAAAGCAGGTACAAATTTGAATGAGAATTGCTTCATTAATTCAATTTAGGACTAGTTCTCATTGATAACTAGTTTGAGCTCATTCTAAACAAGTCTTCGATCTTGGTAAATGTAAAAAATAGTTCAATCAAAACATCCGATTACAATTTTTATATTTTAACTGTCAAATATTTAGTTCATAGTATAAAATAAGCATTCTTTTTATTAATATACTAGTAAACACGAAATATTATTTTTTAAGTTCAAATTTAAATTATAATAGGTACGTTTGTTGTAAATAATACATTTTTATCTTCGTAATGAGCTCACGTTGCACAGTTTAGAAATCGCTGCGATGTTTTGATGTTTTAATTAAAATATCGTCTACAAATTAATTAACTGTGTAACTATAATTAAATTATACAAATGATATAGATCCTTAGATCGTGTACAATTAAATGTTTTTTTTTCGTTTCTAATATTAAATCGATTATATTTAAAAAAAAACGGTATCCTGACGTAATCTATGACCTATGAAAAATAAAAATAAAAATCATATCAAACTCTTAGTTTATTTACTTTTAAATGAATTTGAGTTATATACCTATTATGTTTGATGAATTGTCATAATTATATTTTCAACGACTTTGGTATTCATAAATAAAGTGCTCGATCAGACGTTTTGTGCCATAAAACAATCTTTTTTTTATTTTATGCACAAATATTATGTAAATATAATATATTATATTCATAGTATATAGTAGCAGTTTATTATTTTGTCCAATACTTAATAGTCAACGGTCATGGTTATTATTATACCATAATATTATAATATATTACTTTTATTAAAATTCATTGAGATTAAATTTATTGTATACACACTACACACACGTCGCAGTAGTAAACACGTATAAATATAATGATTGATATGACGTTATGAATTACGTTATATATAATCGTTTCTATAAACTAAATTAAATAAAACGTGAAGCCTATTAAAATATTATATACGCTGCAGCTCTAGGGTCGCGGTCTCGTAAGTTGTAAATTATAACAATTATGTATGCATATAAAATATAATGCATTATTCATTTTGCACATATTATGTATCATTATATTAATTAAATTTGTTTAGGACTCTTGTAATACGCAACATAATGCATTACTGTTTTTGTATATGGCGGTCTATGATTAATCTCTAAATTTATTCTTAAAAAAATATATATATATTTACTCCGTGACGAATTCCGGTTAAATATTAGAAAGCAATGTAAATGATGATTTTTAATTTTAACAATTGTTGAAAGTATACTTAAAAACCGGTGTTTTTTACAATATCGGTTCTCGGGTGGGATATCGAGTCGGAACGTCGGATTTATTGTTATACATATTATCAAAATCGCAGTGTATACAGTATACTGTCAACTATACCTGTATAATGGTCAGTGTGGGGCCATCGAAAAGTTTTTTTTAATTTTAAAATTTTAATCTTCGTATACCGTTATTTTCGCTTTGTGTTCATATTATTTTATATTACTTCATAGTTATAACTTTCACCGGTTTCGCGGGTTACTCGTTTCGTGCCTAGGACAGACTGCGATAGTTTCGTCGGCGTCGGCAGGTAATCAATAACCTAAATGCTATCTTTAAATCATATTATACATCGGCATCACGAAGGCTGATTAATATAGCCTTCGCGAGTCGATCATTTAAACTGCAGCGGAGCATCTAAATAAGTGATATATATATATATTATATTAAAGCGTTTTTATGGACCGCCAAATCGCAGCAGCAATCGCGACGTGGACATCGTATGACCTGGGCGTTATGATGATAACGTCGTCTGTTAGAGCGCAATTTAATATTTGAGTATTTTTTTGTAACAAAATATTATATTATGATTAACAATGTATAATTCGATCGCCTACTGAGTAATATAATAATATTCTAATTGTGTCGTCGTTTTAGTTTGTGATTGCATGTAATATGTGTTTGTGGCTATTTTTTTATTTTTTTGTAATGCCGTATAGTTTCTGAAGAAGGACGAATATAATAGGTTTTTTTGTTTTGAGGTAACGAACGGTTATTAAATTTAGCTGATTTTTCTTTTCTGTGTATTATATTATTATACGCATAGTGGGTACGATATTTTAAAGTGAGTTTTAAAGTCGAGAAGTGTATTTTATCATTATCATTATTTTAATCTTGTGTCTGAAAAATCGTATAGCCAAAATATTGTTTAAATGTTTTTGCGTTACATTTTTGTATCGCTTTTATTCTCAATATCATTTATTTCCCATTATATAGTATTGTGAACTGTGAAGGTATATTAATATTATGTCTTAATAGCAAATTGAAAGAGCATCTAGTTAATGTTAACCATTTAAATAATAATAGTTGTACCTAAATGTCYAGATATATAGCATGATACACTGTTGAGGCGTTGACATAATATGTAAATACATTAACTGTATAATATTTATTTTATTAATTTTCGCATTTTTTTAACATTAACATTTAACGTTATCACTATCGACACTATTACGACGAATTTTATATTGTGATGTACAAAACTTTTATTTATAATAAATTTATAATACTTTGGTAACCATAAAAAAAGAATTTAGTTCAGAATTTAAAATCCAAAGACTTTTTTAATAAAAAATAATGATATTTTATTATAATATAGGTGATAAGTATATGATAATATTATGTAAAACAGATATTCCAGGTCTACATTATTAATTATAAATTATAATTATAATAAATGTGTTTAAACTACGTTCTGAATCCAAATATATTGTGTAATGATCACTCTATAATACTCATATTTCCTAGTAGTTCAGTAGTTGGCAAATTATTACATTTTTGTTTTGTAGATCGTATAGTGCGCACACTTGTGCATTCGTGATGGTGCACATTGTGTGTCGTGGTGCACATAAAAATAGTGCCTGGATATACCTATTATCGTTGATTTTAATTACTTGTAAAACTACTATTGAATTCAAATATTTATAATTAATACTATTATTCAAATCTTTTTTAGAATTTTTATTATTTTTGCCTTACTAGATCAAACGTGCAGCCGTAACGTTAGGACGAAAACGCTTATATTTATTTCCCGTGTCGCTGCATGTGCGGTGTGACACATCATAATATTATCATATTATAGCTGACAAACAAAGACGGGAAATCACAGTTTTCTACTCCTCCTCTTCCAAATCCCCACCACATTATTCAAAATGTATTATATATTACTATATAACTATGTATGTAGATCGTGTGCCGTGCAAATATCAAATACATTTTATATATCTCATAATACCAATACTCAGTATAATAATATATTTATGCGTTAAAGGGAACTGTGTATAATATTATTTCGATACTGCAAAAAAAAAAAAAAAAATACTTGTCGTTCGCTCATCAATTTTTGAAATTAAAAATATCACCCAGAATAAAATTCGTAGATTTATGTWCCTATGACGTATTATTCAAATCTGAAAACAGATTTGTTTATTACCGTTGCTTCATTTCCCCTATATAGACCAAACTTGTTTTCGTTGGAACAAAACGCATCTAATGACTTTCCGTGTCACTGCACTGCGCGGCATGACATATCATAATATTATCATATTATATTGATGAAAACTATAGAGGCGGAAAATCATGGTTTCCCGCAATCTCCTCTTTGGCCCCCATAATATGCGTGATTTATATCAGAGCTGTAGACCGTGTGCCGTACAAATATCAAATAAATCTAATATAACGGTGGTGTTGTCATAGGTGCAATTTCAATAAAAAAAAACTACGGGTGCTTAAACTATACATTTTCTCATTTTAGTCAGGTTTTGTGCTAATTTTAAAATTGGCGTTGCTAATACCTCTTAAGCCCCCTCCCCTATCTGCGCCACTCGTTTTATCGGTTTTCCCATGCTTAAAAGGAAACTGTATGATTTCGATATCGTAAAACGAAACAATTATTAGCCGTTCGCGCGTGCCTGCAGTTCATTGAACCATAGAATGTACCTGTTATACACGAGTAACGTACTCGTAACGTGTACGCGCACAACGTGCACACCACCACATAACCGCGCGGTGGCAATATTTTCAAACACTACTTTTAGATTTTCACTATCCGTCGACGGCGGCGGCCGGCGACAGCGGTCGCGCATTCGTGACAGCGTGTCGACGTCGTGAACATCGCTGCTGCCGCCGTCGCCGTGTCGTTCTGGCAAAGGTCCAACGATTGTTTTTCGTGTACCTTCCCAGGCTTATCGTTGCTGTTTATCGTTGTTTACATAATATTTCGTTTTCTGTTTTCCCCACAAGATCTGAAGAGATGGTGGAAGCACTGTCGACCAGTTTTCAAAACCTCTACAACAAGTACACCAGATCGGAAAATGGGCCGCAGGACGACCTCAGGCGCGAGGTGTACATAGTACCGGTGAACAATAACACAGCCGTCGCCGCTGAAGACGCTCAGAATCAGTTCCTCTTGCAGCGATACCGTCCAAAGGTCCGCAGGGCGTTCACGTTCGACGCCAAACACCTGTGTCAGGCAAAAAATCAAAGATGGGAAATCATGAGACAGAGCAGACTGCGCGTGTCCTCGGGACAGTGTTGTTCGGTCTGCATACCCGTGAGTAATATTACGTCATATTATGTGATATCTTCTGGTGCTCTTTAGTCTTTGACGTTTACTTTTTTTCTTACATCATGTTGATGTAATTCCACAACAAATCTCGAGCAAAATATTTCAACGAATTCCTTATTGCATTTAAGTTCTAAAAAATTAAGCACCATCAAAAACCACCGATCCTTGAGGATAGTATTGCACTATAATATTATTGATGTAGTTGCGTCTGAAACAAAATTTGAATTTTAGGGTCAGCTTGTTAACCAATAATTTCGCTTACCTTTTAGTTTTACCTCCAGGCAGGAAAAAAGTATTATTTTTATCCAATTCTGTCAAAACATATTTTATTTGTCTTGTAAATTATGTAAGTATACCTACATTAGATCGAGCTATGTGTATTCATATAATTGAAAATAGAAAACTATTATTACATATAATCGATCAATTAATTACTGCAGTCGGTTATTGAGTGGTTAGATATTTGTTGTTTTTGAAGAAAAAAATACATTCTATAACAAAACCCGCAACTTTTATTTTAATGTCATTAGAGTCATATTTTAAATATTTCATTTTAATACTTATATAGACGAAACCAAGTTTTCATTTTCGTTACTACTTATTAATATTTCCGTGTTCCGTCTGCCTAATCTGTCCGAGTACAATAGTTTGGGATAGTATTAATTGGCACAGGCGCGAGCAGGGGGTATGCAGGGTATGCAGCATTGCAGTTACATACCTTGAAGCTTTTTGAGCGGTGAAAATCGATACTAGAAAAAAACCTTTTTTGCGCAAGAAAAATAATTAGTCCTTAAGTATATTAAAATATTTACCTATAATGATAATTGATAACAAATGATTAAAAATGAGAGAAATGATATCAGACTAACGACATGTGACAACGTTTCATTCACGAACAAAAAAATCATAAGGTGATTGCTATGCTAACTACCGTCTGACGTATAAAAATGCCTATGGCTAGGTGCTATTAGCAAATTGTAACATCCAATTATTAACAATTAATTACCAAGTATATTTGCAAAATACATACTTTTTGTATGTTGTCATGGTGTTTGTTACAAMATTTTTTTAATTGAACAGTAAGACTTTTCAATATTTGCGTATTGTGTAGATTTATAAATTATCAGAGTTTTACAGGCTTAAAATAACTTTCAGGACACGCCAGTGGCAGCCTTTTGCATACCCTGAAAAAGAGGTCTGCGCACATCTATGTTAATTGGCTACAAAATGAAAACACTATTAGACACCTATCTACTTAAATTGTGTTTATATATTATAATATTGTTTAATTATAATTTATTTGTATTATATATTTATATCTATGACGAAGGAATTCTTAATTTTATATTTTTATTATATTCATCATGTACCTAACTGAAAGTTGTACTGAATATAGTAAATATTATTTTTAGATATTTTAAGTAGGGAAATATTACTTACTAACGGCTATTTTTTAGTGCAATTTATTATTGGTATATCAACCCAGATAATGATCGATTGTAACTGGTCCTTCTACCTTAAATGTTTTGAGGTCATTTTAAGTGAAGTTTAACAATTAAATGAATTATCAAAACCTTTTATAAGTTTTCAGAGGGTACCTATTTAAAATTATTCCTATTATTATTTATAAACTCGGCACCACTATTGTGATGCCACAATTTACGTTGATAGGTATATTACCTAATTCATACTTGCATTGAAATAAATCGTTGCAGTTTGTCTTATAACTTGTGATTTTTATTTTCTAGAACATTTCGTTTAATAATTCAAAAGCCGTGTCAAATTTAAAGAACTTATTGGACATATACAACATCAGTGCCACTCGAAAGTCGATGTTTGGTTGTTTCATCGACGATTTAAAGTTTTTCTATCAGCTCAAACGCCAAGAGTACAAATATATATACGATGAAGTAGGTACACATGACATAGTACAGTACTTATGTATATACTATATTGTCTATATGCGTGTGGTTATTAATTTATTGATTTATAATTTGTAAAGGTTTTGGAAGATGAAGCTGTGGAGAAAGCAATTGCTGCAGCTGCACGTGATGCGTGTTCTGGTGATGCGGTGGTTGGAGATAGTCGTTTCGACGAGGAGATGAGAACACAGCAAGCAAACACAAGACGCATACTAACAGTCATAAGTGCAAACGTTAAAAATTGGGTTTACAAGTACATTTTATTTGTTTTCCGTTCTACTGCAATGCATGTTCATCGTTATTGATTGTGTTTTGTAGGGTAATCGGTTGGTTCACATACCGTATGATATCGTTACTGGCCACCAGCCTTGTGGTGCAGCCCCTTCAAATTGACAGGGTCAGGGAAGCCGAACAGAGTGGCTTACCCGTTATTTATTTACCGTTACACAAGAGTCACATGGACTATATACTTTTGGGATTGGTATTGACAGTAAATAACATCAAACCACCTCTGGTAGCTGCTGGAGAGAACCTCAGGGTTTTCTTTATTAGGTATATGGTCTTTCTTTGACAATTATTCTATATATATATATATATTTTTTTTAAATGTAATAATGAAATGCTAATTAGTTTTATTTTGATTTCAGTAAATTGTTGAGTTTCTTGGGAGCATTTTACATCAAAAGACAAGTAGATACAAAAAAAGATCAACTCTACTGGTCAGTTTTGAGTAGCTATATTAAAAACAGTATGAAAAGTGGACATCATATAGAATTCTTTTTAGAAGGTGCCAGAACTCGAAGTGGAAAGTGTTGCGTTCCTAAAGGTATGTAAAAGTAAAATAAAATATTTAGGTGTTGCTTAAGTCGTGTATAATTATTTCCAAAAATAGCTGGTTTATTGAGTATCATAGTGGAAGCTTACCATGAAAAAGTTATTGAAGATGCGTGGATTGTACCCGTGTCTATGAACTATGATCGAATATTGGAAGGTAATTTTGTCAGAGAACAACTTGGCCAACCAAAAAAGAAGGAAACTTTTTACGCCGCAATTTCGACATTTATTAAAGCTATTTGTTCACACTATGGAATAATGAGGGTGGATTTTAATAAACCTTATAGATTACGAGTATGTTAATAAATTATATTAATTAAATATATTATTGATATTAAATATAAAATCAATTATAATCAAAATAGTCATAACAAAATATATTGATGCACTCATGCAAAAAGTGATAGAGTGAAAAAAAAAAAATTAAAATTCTATATAAAATTTAAATTAAAAAACAATTATTATAATTTTCACTTGATATCACTTTTTGCATGACAGCAAAAAAATGCATATTGAATTTAAGGTTAGTTATTACAAATAAAAACATTTTGATTCAATTAAATTTCTTGTATTGTTGTGTGCCTTATAATATGTATTCATTACATATTTTGTTGTTTTATAATGTTATAAACTAGAAAATTCTTACATTACAAAAATGCATTTCGAAAAAAATCATGCTGTAGTCTCTATTTATTTTACTTAATTTTTAAAATTATAAACTTAAAAATTAAACAATAATTTTGTTAAATAATTATTAACAGTATAATTGTTATTTGTTATTTTTCTTCAATATTTGTTGTTAAAATTTCGCCAAAAATCTATTAAAACAAATTAAGCTTCTTAATATTCGTTATAAGTGATTTTAATATAAACGTATTATATTTATTCTCATTTTCGTATTTTATAGTTTTATCTTAATAACATATTGTTTTTATATTATGTTATAGGATTTGTACGAATCAATTGATAAATTGACACAATTAGAAAACGAATCTTTAAATAAGAATGGTATGGAAATGATGTCTGCTACTGTTCGCTATAAAAATACAGTTGACAGAATGGCAAAACATATAGTTTATGGTAATATCATTTTTTTAAATTAAAAACATTTTAATGATAAAAATTAGACTGCATTTAAAAATCTAATGCAAGTTATATTTTATTTTTGATTGTTTTTCCAATATTTTGTTGTACTAATGTGCTTTTGTGTTAACTAAATCAATTTGCAATTTTATTTTTTCAACCAGATCTTTTTATTAGAATTTTAGCTTGTGATATTTATTATTTCTTGAACCTTAATTAAATTCAGTTGAATCATAATTTGAAATAAATAATATAGTTTTTAAGCCTAAAAATACACTAATGGAGAATTTTTGTAGTTTATAAGTTCCAGAAAATATTTTTTTGTATATAATATTTTTTATTATAAAATCTGTAAATATAATATTTTACAATAAGTATAAGTGCTGTAAGGATAGAAATATCATAAGAATAAAATAAAATAAAATAAAAAATAAAATAAGAGGGACTGATGACTTGAGCGAAGAGTCCATCCAGCGATGGGACTTCTTGAAGTTGTGAATGGGTTTTATTGAGTCAGGAGATCCCGACACCATTTTCGTCTTAAACGTCTATTAGGGTAACCTGAGATGCTGAGAGTAGATAAGTTGGAGATAATGGATTGCGGTGGTTAGAAAGGTTTGAGTGGAATGTTTTATGCAGCGTTTTGACTATGTGTTTTACTGTTAGAATAGAGAGGTTGTTATGGAGTATGTCGTTCGAGACGCAAAAGAAGGCTTTGGTAATTTGCCGAAGGCATTTAGATTGAAATCTTTGAATTTTTTTTGATATTTGATGGTTTGGCAGAACCCCAAAGTTGTATACCATATGACCATATGGGTTTTAGTAGTAGTTTATATAGAAGTATTTTGTTGCTCAGGTTTATGTGCTTGGATGTAAGGAGGAGGCGTAATTGACGAGGTCGACTATTCAGTGTGATATGTTTGGTATGGATGTGGTGGACCCAGGTCAGTTGATGGTCCAGATAGAGGCCGAGATATCGGACATTTTGTGTGGGTGGGATGGGTAGGTTGTTGATGGTTATGGTAGGGTAGTTCCTTGGTTTTAAAGTGAAAGTGCAGTGGGCGGATTTTGATTCGTTTATCTTGATTCCCCAATCTTTGTACCAGGTTTGGAGTAGATTTAAGTGGACTTGAACGAGGTTGGAGGCTGTTTTGGGTACTGAGTTTTTCATTGGCAAAGTCAGCTGTGATCGTATGGTTGGTTGTAGGTTGATCGGAGATGTATAGATTGAATAAGAGTGGGGCTGCTACAGCACCTTGGAATTTCCAGAAATAATTTATCATTTATGTATTAATGTAATTTTATAGTCATATAATATATATATATATCATATATATATAATATATATGATAATGAAAATAATTTAAATATCATCCTTTTTTTTTCATGTTAAATATATTTGGATTTTATAGATTGTTGGAAATCAAGTCCTATAATGTCAACACATGCTGTGTGTTTTTTACTTTTGAATAAGCATAGAAATGGTACTACTTTAGAACAATTGTCCAAGGATTTATCGATGATGCGTGATAAGCTTTCTCAATCAGATAGAGATATTGGTTTCAGTGGAAGGTCCATAGATGTTATCAAACACGCTGTAAGAATTAGATGAAAACTATAAAATTAAGTATTTTACAAAATTGTTATTGTTTCAGCTTGATCTCTTAGGGCCAAAATTAGTTGTGTATGAAAATACTGACTCTGGCCGTATTGTTAAACCAATTCTTGATGTACCAGTCTTAATAGAACTGTCATATTACGCAAATAATCTTATTTCCCATTTTATGCATCAATCATTAGTAGGTAAGTATTAAATAATATAATATAATTTATTGTATTAATGTAATATTTTAAGATTGTTTTTTAATATTTATTTATAATTTTACTGTGGGTTAATCATAACTATTTTTTTTTACAGCTCTTACAATATGTAAATTAGTCAGTTTGGACATTTGGAACAGTGGTATTACAGAAACGAAAATCTCAAGAAATGACTTAGTTGAAGATGTATTATTTCTTATCAATTTATTGCAATTTGATTTTGTTTTTATTAAACCTTGTGATAATTTGGATAATATTGTGGATAAAGTGATTAGACATTTTGAGGAAGAAGAAATTATTTTGATGGATATGGTATTTCAGAAATTATTATTTATTTGTTGTTGTAGTATAATTTATGTATTATATATAAGTATTCATTTTATTTTATAGATGCTTGAAGAAGAGAGGCATAGCCAAAATATTGCAAAATTGTTAGATAGTGATTCCGATGATGAGTATCAACGGACATATGTTGAAATTGATGTTAAATACCGTGTAAGTATTTTTTTTATTTTTTTTACTATTTCGTATAACATGATTTTTCTTATCATAACCCCTATATTAATTATGGCTTTAGTATGTAAAATTGTTTTAATTTTTAGATTAACACTAATGCAAGCAGTTTAAATCAATTAAAGTTTTATCGATCAGTTATGATGCCATACTTAGAATGCATGGCTGAAAGTGCTGGAAGTTTTCTTGCTTTATCAGAAAATTCAGTGATAGAACGTGACCACGTACAAATAATTTTGAATCAAATGCATGAGAATTTGGAAGAGGGAATATTATCTTATGGTAAATTTTGTTTGTAAAATTTAGTTAACCTCGTTATATCACATAAATAAGCATACTCCTTTTGTTTCCCATTGTTTAACTTATGTATATGAAAAATTTTTAGGTGAAAGTATATCTGTGGATACCATCAAACACTCATTTTTGGCGTTTGAAAAGTTCAACTGTCTACAAATCACAACAAAAGACAATATCAAGACATTGAATATCATTAATAATCAACCCAGTGAGTTAAATCCAAGTATGCAGGTCATGTCAGAATATATCGAGGGATTTGTTAAACAAATGAATTAAAACTGTAAAGTATTGTGTGTTTGTTAACATAATTTAAAACTGAATTGTACAATTTAATTACAATAAATTGTATTAACTGGTTTATGGATTTTTCATAAAAATTATGTAGTTAATATTTACATTGTTAAGTATTTATTAAAATACATTAAAAGGCACACAATATTTATGATTTGAATTACATTTGTTTAATTTTTAAAAATACATTAAATTATAAATAATTTTTAAAAACACGCTCAAACCATGATATTCAAAATAAATTTTTGATATACGTTTTGTTTATCTTTAAATATTAAATTTAAGATAATTTATGTGTAAATATTTGTTATTTTTGACGTTATAACTTTTAAAGTTGGGACATTAAATTCTTAAAGTATTGTGATCGTATTTAAAATTGTATAAAAAACTAAACTTTATGCAATAATCAATGTTCTCCATCAAAACATTATCTATGAACAGAAACCTTATTTTGTACATTAACATTCAATTTTTTCTTTAAATTATGTTTTTAAATTGTATGACTATTTGAAATTGATTATTTATTAACCATGGAATTATACCTAGTATAATACTTAATATGAGCAATGTGAAATGTTTTCTTTTTGCTAAAACATGACATTTTGCTCTGACTGGTTTTTATGCTGTGATATAAATTTTTACCTTTTCATACACTATTGACCAGAATAAAATTTCTATCTACAACCAGTTATGTCCGTGTTATTTTTTTTTATCCAGATAGATATTTTAATGCTCGATAAGTGAGTTAAATTTTGATTGTTGTATTCTTTTGAAGATGATTTATAAATATGGCCAATACTTTTATGTATTTGCATATTTTTATTGATTGGTTCAATAAATAKCTAGTTTATACTAATATTTGTTTCATAACCTAACCATGATGTATAAAAAATTACAATTATAAAGTTAGTAATAGCTACTAATTAGTTTATTTTTTTTAATTGTTTGGCGATCAAATTTAGTACAATTATTAATGGTGAGATAGGTAGTTATGCCAATGTACCGACAATTCTAGAAATCTGATGTAATTTTTTAATATACATATATCACATTCATCATGACTTGAAAATAAATTTAAAATTTTTGAAATTAAACTCTTAAACTTTAGATATTTTGAAGATAATATGTAATACTAAAATGTTAATACATAATAACAAACGTTAATGTACATTGCTTATTGTTTTTTATATCTAACAAAGATTATAAACAGTGTACCTATTTGATTTTAACAATATTTTTAAAATTAAAAAGCAAATAATTAGATTATCCCGAAGAAAAAAACACAAAGGGCATGTATTATAAAAAATAAAATAAGTACAGTCACAATTTTTTTTATAAGCATTCTAAGTTTGAATTTTTACAAATCACGAAAATTCACAAATTATTTTAAGCTAGAAAATAGAAATTTATAAAAAATTTTCTTTTAAAATCTCGATTTGAAAATTTAATACAAGATTTCTTAAAAGTTTGTCAACCTTTTTGACAAAAAAAAATCCACCAGAAAGTCAAATTAAGTTTTTATAAGCGTTTGAAATTTAAATTTTTACATTAGATTTTCACTAGATTTGTCATTTAGCGATTTTCTTATTTTGGTGTAACTCTAAAACAAATGACCACAGATACTTGAAGTTTTCACTGAATGTTTGTATACGCATTTGCTATACTTGGCAGATAAACCGTCACCGCTCAGAATTGTTTTTCGTATATAATGATGCAATATCATTGGATTCAAATTTAATTCCATCCATTAGTTCATTACAGTAACCCACTTGTAATCTACTGTCCTACTGTAGAGCAGAGTGACATCCACTTTCCCGCTTTTTAATATTTACAATTTGATTAATGAATATAGTTTTATTTTATTTACCAACAAATTAATAGTTGAATAAATAATTCCTTACTAACTAATGAAGTAATGACAATAGAATCCGATGTTTCATAATATTATAAAGATCTATAAAAACAAAATCCTTAATAGCAACATTATACAGCAACGTATGTGTAATTATGATATTATCATCACCCGTATTACAAAATAATATAATATTTTCTCAGAACCTTTGCTCGCACCGCTTCTTAAGAGGACGCTACACCCGCATACGTTACGTTGTCTCCGTCTTACAAGTGCGTAACATAGCAAATTTTATGCTCAGCAGATCACGTTTAGCTMYGTTARTTTAAAATTTARAGTAAATTVACTTCTTACAAAAATTAAAGGTAACATTATTATCGAGGGCATGACGTAGGCTTTTTATTATATTTTAATTTTAAAGTGAGTTATGTGTATTTTAA